CATTTATATTAAAGAACAATTAAACTTTTACGAGTCACGGTGCTCAGGTAGCAACTTTAAATAAGGTAAATTTCGTATTTTTTTTTTCGTTTTTTAGTATTTATTGCAACAGTAGAAGTTATTCTTTGGTGTTTTTAGGATCGCTCAACATGGCCGTTTTCATGAAAATATGAATTTATAAAAATAAACCGGATTTTTCGAAAATATAAATTTAAATCATCGGCTGAAGGACCTCGGTTAATGGCCATTTGTAAGAAATTGTATTAACTTTTTTTGCAATAAAGTTCATTTATTATTATTTAAATTTAAATCGCGTTAAAAATTGGTAAAAGCAATACGAAAGAGTGTCCGTACGTTTTTTATCACTTACGGATTTGATGGATCGATAAATAATATAAGTATTTGTCAAGGCATAAAAATGGATATTTACGTGTCAAGCTTTGTAAATGAATCTTTAAGGGTGAGCTATAAGTGAGCCTAGTAAAGATTAATTTCAAAGTGTGACCTTCGGTCATCTTGCGTGACACATACAAACTTTTATTTTCACCTTTAGATAACGATTTTAAAATTTCAATTAATTTGTCAAATGTGTCATTTCATTTCATAAATTGCTTTTCTACAAGACTGAAAAACTTTACAGGTCTTTTATATAAGCCCGTAAAATATTACAGTTTCTGTTCCCATAATGTATCGTTTACTTGGATACAAAAACAGCAAAATTAACCCATAAAATGTCATTTACTAAGAAGGTGGACTTAAAAAGTAGTTTATATATCGTTAATAAAATAAAATACCGCCAAAACTGAAATTTTTTTGTTTGGGCAAAATTGGTATATTTATACCCGGTGCATTCGCCATTTTTGCAAATAGCCATTTTTGCAAATATTATCATTTATTTTGAAACTATTTTATTTTTTTACTCCTATTGCATATTATTGAAATTATTTGTTTTTTTTTCGTATGTAATGGTTATTACCAAATGAATTTATAAAAATAAATCGGATTTTTCGAAAATATAAATTTAAATTGCGTTAAAAAGTGGTAAAAGGAATACGAAAGTGTGTCCGTATGTTTTTTAACTGCTAAAACATTAAAGATCATTTTTAAACTCATATAAGTAATTTTTTATCACTTACGGATTTTATGGATCGATGAATAATATAGTATTTATAATACCCCATAGAGACCTACATAAAATAATCTATCGGGCGCTACCGGATTCAATATGTCCATGGTTTTTTCCGGATACGCGTATATACGGCCCGATAGAAAATGTATAGGAAATTACCTATTAGCACACCATAACTTTTACATTTTCCCTATTGAGACCGATAGCAAATAACTCAATGAAGGATATATAGGGATATCCCTACAGAACAACCATAAAACATTTGACAACATTTTATTAAAACCTATAGGGTCCTATGGGGAAAAAACTAATTTCTACATTTATGTGTATTTTCCCCATTGAAACCAATAGCAAATAAATCAAGGGTGGATATCCATATAGAACAACAATAAATCCCAACTATGGGTCCTATACACCCTATAGAAACACCATACATTCCGATACAAATATCTATCGGTTTGAACAGGGTCTTTATGGGGTATTTTAAGCAGGGAATGCATAAAAATAGTTATTTACGTGTCAAGCTTTGTAAATGAATCTTTACAGGCGAGCTGGAAGTGAGCCTAGTAAAGATTAATTGCAAAGCGTGACACGTGCAAACTTTTATTTACACTCTTAGATAACATTTTCAAATTTTAAAATTTCAATTAATGTGTCAAATGTGTCATTTAATTTCATAAATTGCTTTTTTACAAGTCTGTATAACTTTACAAGTCTTTTATACAATCCCGTAAAATATTCTGTTCCAATAATGTATCGTTTACTTGAATACAAAAACGAAAAAATTAACCTATAAAATGTCATTTACTAAGAAGGTGAAAATAAAAAGTAATTTTTATTAACATATCGTTAATAAAATAAAATACCGCCACAACTGCAAATTTTGTTTTTAATTTTATGGCGATATTTCACTGCTAACGTTAGACTTTGAAATTAAATACAACCATGGGTGGACAAGTGATTAAGTTTTAAAATATAGCATGCTATTACATCACTTGTGGGTGTAGTCCAACTTTAGCAGTGAAATATCGCCATAAAATTAAAAATTTGCAGTTATGGCGGTATTGAACTGGATGTTAGTACATGAATCCACTTATTTTATAACATTAATTTAAACGAAATAGTATATTACACTACAAGGGCAGAAAGTGAGATTCCTGCACTGCGCGCCATGATGCCCGAGGCGAAGCCGAGGGCATCATGGCGCGCAGTTCAGGGCTCTCACACTTTCTGCCCGTGTAGTGTATACTATTTTTCTTACTACCTCGGCCGAAAATACAACCCGGTGAAAATACGGGAAAAAATTAAATGTGTATTTATGTACCTATCTCCATTTGAAGAGCTTGATAAATAAATAACAGTAGGCCGTGAATTCAGCGGTGCCAATACAGTAAAAATAAAAGGTTGTATTTTAATTAACAAATTACTACTTTATAACAAATAAAAGTACCATTAAACACTTAAAACAACATAAAACAGGGTTCCCACCAATCCTGAAAAACCTGAAAGTCTTGATAAAGTCATGAATACAACTTTTGAACCTGAAAGTCCTGAATTGAAGCTAAATATAGCTTAAATGTCTTGATTTTCAATTAAAAACAATTATTTTTCTTGATTTATAATAATTTTTATCAATTTATTGTTTCATACATTACATATATTACCTATAGGTATGTTACACAAAAATTTTCAAATTATTTTTATAATATAACCTGGCAAAGCTGTCTTCTGGGCAACCCCATATACATATTTTGACCTGGCAACACTGCATTCTCATGTGTCATTTTTAAACGAATGCAATTTCAATGTCTCACTAACGGTCATAATTGCACTGATACGGAATTATTTTTGTTTAATTTTGGTAAGTAATGTAACTAATGTTCTCCTATTTTTCTAAAGTTTATTAACCGATTGCAGGGCTTATGTTCTGTGGCTTCGGCTTTATGCAAACATGCCAAAGAAAAAGACATATTTTCATCCATATTGGCAAAATGCAGATTTAAATGGTAATTTTGTTAATATCATAAGTTATGATTCATAACCCCAGTTGTCAATGACCCTACAAGATTTTATTGTAAAATATGCAACAAATCATGCAGCTTAAGCAACATGGGAAAAGCTGCTGTAGACATTCACATTAAAACGCCTAAACACAAAAGATTCGAAAAAGCCCTTCAACAAAATAAAAAATTGACAATTTGCATTGTGTAATTGTGTCATTTTTGTAATTAAGGTTAATTCAAACGAAATAACGTCTATTTTTAGTAACACTACTTATACTCTTTTAGCTTTTTGCCATATAATTATTTGTAAAAATTTTTTATTTTAATTAAATATTTTTATGTTCGGTTTTTATTATAAATTTTACTTTATTTCTATTTTATAAGAATTTATTTTATAACGAATAAATGTTTTTCAATAAAAAAGGTTAATTTCTTGCTAGGCTTGCTAGGCTTATTCACTGTAGTCATGAACCAAGTCATGAAAAAGTTAATTTTTGGTCATGAAAGTCTTGATTTTTTAAATGACAATGTTGGTGGGAACCCTGTAAAAAGTTAAAAAGTAAAAACATAAATTGTTTATTTGTTGTTATAATTGCAAAATTAAGGTTTAAAACTGTCATATTTTTGTGTTTCTCATGTTGGCAGTACGAAATTTGAATGTTAAGCACACGCAGTGTTGCCAGATAAAAAAATTTCATGTCGCCACCAGAGGCGGCGAAAGTCGCCAAAATAAAGTAAAAGTCGTCAGTTTTTTTTTAAGTACATTTTTTTGGGAATTTTTACTTGTAAAATAAAAAAATAACTGAACATGTTCATGCATGATTTTTATTTAAATAACATCGTTTAGTTAACATTTACAATCAGCGTAAAATCTGCTTCATATTACATATTTACATAATCGACATCGACATAAAACATATGTTTTATGTCGATGAACCTATTTATATTATTCCGATCATAGCTTTGATGAGTCAAGGAGAAATATTTTGCCCTCCTTGGGGCTGACGCCTAGGGTTACCAGATTCTGTCAAAAAAAATCGGGACATTTTGTGTGAATTAACCTTAATTACAAAAATGACACAATCAACAATAATTAAGTAACGTCAAACTTACAATTTGCATTGTATAATTATGTCAATTTTGTAATTAAGGTAAATTCATACAAATCGCCCAAATGGCGACTTGTAAATTTTTGGTCGCCAGAGCGAGTTAAAAATCGCCCAATTTGTGATAAATCGCCCAATCTGGCAACACTGAGCACACGACTATTAGAGTGTGCGCGTATAGCTTGACCAATGCATTAAACGTAAACTTTCTGCCGTGGAATCGGGGACGAAACAACGTATTTTGAGTCGAGGTAGTAAGAAAATATTTTATAATATTTTATTATAAAGTTATCCTATATTTATTACATATACTTAAATTATTATTTACATTATTATCAGATATAATTATTAACTTAAATATAATTCAAGAAAGAAATAACAAAAGAAATACTTAAGTGGTCTTAAAAAATTATGTATATACTTTATATATATATATATACTTTAGTGGACCACTTCCGATTGGACGGTAGACGGTGGCTGATTGTCTCTCACCGCTGTTGCTGTACCTGTTTACCTTTATAAGGCGCTTGGCAGCGTGTTTTGAATGTGCTTACATACCACGGCTACCCGGCACTGATGAGGTATAATAAGACCGAAACAGGCTGTCTGTCGGTGCACCGGTGTAGAACGCTCGAAACAAAAGCACGGCGACGAGATAGTTAGTCAGTGCTCACAACATGGGCACTACACCTAAAACAGTTAGCCTGTTTCGGTCTTATTAGACCTCTATGTATATTTTAAACATATTTCTATTTGTTTTAGGTATACAACATGCCGTAGGTGGATTGGCATCGAAGCCCGAAAGGGACCTGCTCATGCAGGATTTTATGACCGTAGAAACAACAAATTTTCCACACGAAGGCTCTAACCACACTCCCGCTCATCACTACTCCGAGTTCAAGTTTAAAAACTACGCCCCTATTGCTTTTAGATACTTTAGGGATCTTTTCGGTATACAACCAGACGATTTTTTGGTAAGCAAATGTTTTTGCTCTTTCATTTGTAGTACACCCTGTAAAATACCAATAGAAACATTCAACTTTAGTCATTTGTGTTCGTTTTATCCAATCAAGCATTATTATACTCTAAAGAAGCATCGGGTTTTCGCAACGCGCGCGTTATCTGGTGGCTCTCAATAGCATCGATGGATTTCAAGAATTGTCAATAGTACATTTAAAGCATACAAGCTGCACATTATTTTTAAATAAATTAGTGGCTTTTTTACTTGACAAATTTTGTGTTTCGCGTTAAAAGTAAAAACTGAAAAACTTCTTGGTTTAGTACTTTATTTAGTACTCAATTTTTATGTATTATTCTTTATATGCTTATACAGTGCTTGCAATATCAAGTCCGACCGCGCTGGAAAGGACGGCTGTTCAATACCCGCGTGAAAAGAACAAGGATAGAACGCCAAATAGAATTTGATTGGCCAGAGCCGGCTGCCGGATGCGTGCGAATTGTAAGCGAGGTCAACTCTGGCAGCCAGTCTGGCTGGATTTAGACTAAATGATTTAGTGTTAAGCAAACTGCGTTAGAGTGTAGATGCACATTTTAATTTTCTTTTTAAATATTTTATACCCGAATCCTAAAAATAAAATTTTTTGATTTTTTCCTTGAGAACTAGGGCAACAACAAAAATAGTATTCTTAATAAAAAAGATTTCTCAAATAAAAAATAATTCTGAATAAAAATAACTATAAATAAAAATAAAACTCTAAATAAAAATAAAACTCTAAAAATAAATAATAAAAATAAATAAACTCAAAAATTAAATTAAATGTTCGAACAAGCCCCCATAGGCAGCCAAACAATAGCCTAACCTATTATAAAAATTCCCACGCACATTAGCTAGGACTTCTGGACTAATATCCCCCAACAAATTAGTTATGCGGATTCCTAAATCATTGAGGTTATTAGCCCGATCTTCCTGGAAAACGTACAGCTTCGACTTGAGGTACCCCCACAAAAATCTTTGAATTTCTCGTTCAGAATTACCAGCAAAATGACAGATTAAAATCTGAACTTTTTGTTCCAACGTGTACATGTTTTAATTAAATAATGTTTTTTACTAAAATTACTACCTCTTGCTGGCACCACTGCAGTTCTCGTTCTGATATCCTCGTGTGAAGCACGCTGCGAGGTGCGCGATGGGTATGCGTTGTCGTAGCCTGCCGGCTGGCCAATCAAATTCTATTTGGCGTTCTATCCTTGTTCTTTTCACGCGGGTATTAAACAGCCGTCCTTTCCAGTGCGGTCGGACTTGATATTGCAAGCACTGTATAGTTACGTTAGTGTGTGTATTTTATCTAAGTGATCATGGTGAATTATTGTGTTTTTAATTGTAAGTGTAATTTAAGAACTAAGTCGAAGTTGCATTTTTAAGTTTTGCCAAAAGATCCAATTCGGAACGTATTCCTATTTGGTGGTGCACAATTAACTAATAATAACTTAATCAAATATAATTTATATTTAAATTTGGACATTTAAAAAAAATCCAACACAAAATAATAATTGATTCCTCTGAAAAAAACGCCGACAACTGCATTTTAAAATAGTAAACGACAAAATATATCTACGAATTCATGGCAACATAATATTATATACAATACATAGTATAATACCCGTTTTTGGTCTTTTACCGTTGATTGGAGACTTTCTCAATCAAAGCTTTAATAATTCATAATCCTGTTTGTTCTACTGTACTTTAAATGTTTACAATTTCATGTAAATTTTAATAAAATGTGTATTTATTTTATCTAATAGGTATAATTGATATTTACAGGGATTATGTGCAATTTATTTTTGTATTCTGATTTTCACTGTTAATTGGGAAACCGGTAAAAACTCAACCCAGGATTTTCTCTCGAAAAACACCCAACAACAAATCGTTTCACGTTTTTTTTTCTTGATATTTTTAACATTTTCCGGCCTTATTCTCAAAAACACTTGTAACATACGCGTTTGACAGCTGCTTATATTAGTTAAGATGATAACGGCCACGTGGTGGCGACACTAGCGATACTTTACCGCATAGTGAAAATAATCTTCTTACATTATTGCCGAGAGAATAATTTAAAGTATTTTTTGACATTTGAGTTTATAAACTATAAATTATTAATAAATTATTGTTACGTCAAAAAAAAATCAACAAATATCACACGAGCGATCGATAAATTGAAAATAATTCTCCAGATCTTTTCTCAAACCTGTTGCCATTTGGCATTGGACAATCGAGTCATTCGGGCTCGCGTGTTCTAATATATATCGAATTATTTTCAGTTTATTCTCTCTTGTGATAGTTCTACTGAAAGTATTTATGCAATAATTTTGTCTGTACGATTAAAATTTTACTTTATTAAACACTGTATTGGTTCCCCAATAGGCTATTGACCTAGGTCTTTCTGCCTTGCCTAAAACTTTTAACCAAATAAAAAACTTTAAAATAAAAATATACAATTATTGTATTATACTTACTTGCTTATATTGTTTGAGCATGTTATTTTTTTAAATTTTAAACCAAGTTGGATTTTATCAAGGTTTCGTAATTAATTGTGTTCTTTGTGGTCAATAAATTTATACTATAGTCGCGGCTAAATCTGTATCATCAACTAAGATATACGAGGGTGGTTCAAATATAAACCGGAATTTTGCTATAAAATTTTTTATTATTAAGTTACAGAGCTGAAATTTTTTACAATTTTTCTAGATTGTCTCTGTCACACTCTACACACTTTTGCCACCTCTCCGGAAGCTTTCGGATGCCTTGTTCGTAAAAATCTCTCGGCTTGTCACGTAACCATTCGCGCACGAAGTATTCTACCTCCGCATTGCTTTCGAATCGCAGTCCGCCAAGTGCCTCTTTCAATGGACCGAACAAATACTAGTCGCATGGCGACAAATCGGGACTATAAAAAGGGTGTTCCAGTGTTTCCCAACATAATTCGTTCAATGTTTTCATCAAATTTCCCAGCGTGTGAATTTCTGATCAAAATTCAGAAGTCTTGGCACCCATCTGGCTGAAATTTTGCGGTAACCGAGCCGTTTATGAATTATTTGCTCAATACTACCTACGCTGATGCCCAATTCTTCAGCCATATCGCGTACAGTACTGCGTCGGTCTTCCAAAATGAGTTTTTCTACAGCGCTGACGTTCTCATCTGTAACACTTGTTTTGGGGCGCCGCGCATATGGCAAGTTTGCCACCACTTCTCGGCCTTTTTGCAAAGCGGAACACCATTCATACACTTGAGTCTTGGAGAGGCACTCATCCCCGAACTGCTCGAGTAATTTTTGATAAATTTCCGCGGATTTTACATTATCTTTGACCAAAATACGAATAATGATGCGTTGCGCAACAGACACTGGTACACCCTTCTCGCTCATGGCTATAACTACACTGAAAAGCGAGGTTACGCAGTCCCGGCTGTTCTCTACGCTTCATAACAGACCAGTCTAACATCCAGTGCAGCCACTTTTACGATACTAAATTTTTAGCGCGTTTATTAAAAAATTCCGGTTTATATTTGAACCACCCTCGTATATAGGGTGCTTCAAAAAATAAAATTTAATTTTTTTTTCGCTCTTACTCTCTCAAATTTTTTTATACCTCTGTATCAAAGTAACTTATGGCAATGATCATTGCAGTTTCTTATATAAAATGTAACGCTCTACAAAAAAGGTCTCTTATTATTTTTCGATAAATAGATTTCTTCTAGAGTTATTCGAGGTCAAAGTTTGATTAACATAAAATTTTATGGTTTTTTTAATTTTATGGTACAATTAGCAGAGGGGAGGTGAAAGGGGGCAAAACAATGCAGCGGAGGGGCAAAATGGGGTACCCAAAAAAATTTTTTTTAGATTGTTTTTTTTGGTTTCTAAATTATTTGAAAATTGACTCACAAGTTCACGCTTTTAATCGAAAATAATTATTCTGAGCCTGTAGGGCGAGAAAAAGGATGGTACAATTTTGAAAACTTTTCATATGCTCATTTTTTGGGTACCCCATTTTGCCCTACCCCCGCTGCCTTTAACCTCCTGTCTGCTACCATAAAATTAAAAAAACAGAAAATTTGATGTTATCAAACTTTGACCTCGAATAACTCTAGAAGAAATCAATTTATCGAAAAATAATAAGAAAGCTTTTTTGTAGAGCGTTACATTTTATATAAGAAACTGCAATGATCATTGCCATAAGTTACTTTGATACAGAGGTATAAAATTACAAACATAAAATTATTTTTTCCCATGTTAATTAAATGGGAAACTAAAATAAAAACGCTCATATTTGGTGAGGATTTTTTTTATATTAAATAGAAACATTTGAGAGGGTAAGAGCGAAAAATAAATTAAATTTTATTTTTTGAAGCACCCTAATATATATATCATCATATCATCTACACAAAATTTGAGGAAAATCTGAGTAAAATGACCCATAAGCGTATTGTTTCCCAAGAACTGTAAAAATTTCTTTGTTTTTTAAACGTTTTTTATAAAATTATAAAAAAAACGTTGATGACGTGCACCCATGCAGATTTGACCGCGAGTATATTAAAACAGTACTGTTATAATACTTATTATCTTAGAAAATAGTAATGTTTTTAAACGAGACCTAAGCATTTTAACATTTTAAAAATATAAAAATATTTTTTTGTTTAGATGTCAATGTGTGATTCACCTTTAAGAGAATTATCCAATCCAGGAGCCAGTGGTTCTATATTTTATTTAACTCAAGATGATGAGTTTATCATTAAGACTGTCCAACATAAGGAGGGAGAATTTTTACAAAAATTATTAGCCGGTATGTTGTTAAATATTTTTTTTTACTTTAAATTGCGACATTTTTGGGACATCCTTTGTACTGAATTATATTAAACAAACAGTTTAATGGTAAAACATGCTTACTTACTATAGTTGTTTAAATTACCTCAAAAAATACTCCAATACCTATATTAATTAAATAAAAATTTCCATTGATTAAATTTAATATGTTTTCAGGTTATTATATGAATTTAAATCAAAATCCACGGACGTTGTTGCCAAAGTTCTTCGGACTGTTTTGCTATCAATGCAATAGTAAAAACGTTCGAATGGCGATTATGAACAATTTGTTACCTAGCTCTGTTGTTATGCACCAAAAATATGATCTCAAGGGAAGTACATATAAAAGAAAGGTACGCAAACGTTTATTTCTATTTTCTCATTTCATATCTTTATTGTAGCAAAAAATACTAAAATACCATTTTTTAGGCTTCTAAAGCTGAAAGGCAAAAAAGATCGCCCACCTACAAGGATTTGGATTTCATGGAACACCACCCGGACGGCGTTTTAATGGAGGCCGATACTTACAACGCTTTAATAAAAACCATACAGAGAGATTGTCGCGTGCTGGAAAGCTTCAAAATTATGGATTACAGTTTGCTGTTAACGATACATAATTTAGATCAGGCTCAACGAGAAAAACTGGTAAGTACTAACTCTAGGTTTAAAAAAAATATATCCTTTATTGGTTTTACAAAAAACATGCAAATGGAATTATTATTATTATTATTAAAATGGGCAATTTTTAAAAATATAAGTTCTTAATGATTTCTATAGTAAGATTTTTTTTATTTTTATTATTTAATATTTCTCTCTTATTGAAGAGATTTTTATATTACCTATTCCTTATTTTCTTTTGTTTAATTTTTTACATGGATTATTTTTACAATTTTCTATACAGGGTGTCCCAGAACTCGCGCCACAGAGAAAAAGGAGATGCCAAATTTAAAAAAAAATTCTAGTTAATAGTGTAAACAAATGAGAACAAAAAAGCGGCAGCTAATACCGAGAGCTAGGTTAAACGTAGGAGCTTTAAAAATTGCTAGGAGACGATAGGACATGTTTTCTTAAAACTTTAAAAAATCGTTTGTCCGACTTTGTTTACTAACCTTTCAAAAAGAAATGTCATACTTTAAAGTAAAAATTAAACTAGTTCTGTATCCCAGAGCCAAAATCTCTAGCAACTACTACAGAATTCAACTCAACCGGGACTAGCGGTGCTGCACTCGCGTAAAATGAACGAACTTCATAACCCGCTGTGAACAGGAAATTCGCGTTGCAACTTCCCTTATGCTCTTCCTACTTTTTACATCAAAGGCATTGAAAATAGCTTCTTTATTTTGAGCTACAACGCACAAAAACTTTACAGTCCAGGGGACGATGGGGAAAGCGCTGGGAAAAAACTTGTGCTGCCTCCTTAGCATTGCGCCCATACTTCCCATATTTAATCATCATTTCGGCATAATTAGAGGATGAAAACAACTTAAATTGATAAATAATGACAGGAACAAAAATTGACAGCAGTGTCACAAAGTGGATTCCTGTCGACCAAATATTTAACATATTATAATATCAACATGCATCCGAATTGGGACAAAAACATGTTTTTTTTTCGTATTTGTGAAAAATTGAATTTTGTTTTTAAAAAATATACACATTTTGAAAAAGTAGCAATCAACAACTTAACATTATTTTAATTTTAAAAAAATATCCTTTATTACAGAAAAAAAAACTAAGCATTAAATTAAATTAAATTGATTTAAGAAAATAAATGTAAACGTTAAATATACTGTGGGTTGGGTCTTTTTTTGCAAAAATGAGTGCATTGAAAATATCCTTTTACAAAATAATGAATGATTTATAAAGTTAAATTTAAAAGTGTCAAATAAAACGAAAGTTATGTATTAACAGCAGAATATATTTTTTTGCGGCCCGGTAGAATATTCTTACTGAATCAAAATAAAACGAATAATTATTATAATCATATTATGATTATAATCAGCGTCGGAAATTTACTTTTTTGATATCAGTGTACGGATATAATCCGTAAAAATTTGGAAATTTTTAGAAACATCCTAGCAATTTAAAGAATTCCCTATGCCAATGTAGGCTATCGTTTTTTATCTCGCTTATCCTTTGCTTCAGATAATTTTAATTTTCAAGTATGTGTTTTGCATAAATTTTGGCACGTTCCCTTTTTCTCTGTGGCGCGAGTTCTGAGACACCCTGTATTGTCACCTAAATATGTAAAACTGCTGAATCCATTTTTTTCAGTCTGAATTTTTTGGATTTTTTTCATTTTCTTGCAAATAAAAATAAAATGGCAAAAACTCAAAAAATGGAGCAGTTTTACACATCCTTTTGGATTTATAAAAAACATGAAAGTGAATTATGATTATTAAAAAGGGCATTTTGTAAAAATATAATATATGGGTGATTCCACAAAAGTTGGGAAATATCTGTGTTTTTTAAATTTGAATGCAAGTGACGAGTATACCAGGGTACTAATTAAATACATAATTTATTGGAAAATATAAGATTTATTGCAACTTTGAGTATATTATACATTAAATATCTTAAAATCAAATAATACCACACATCAGTGGCGGCTGGTGGATTTTGGGTATACCAATATCTCAATTATTAAAAATGGGCCCCACACCAAATTTATATTAGTTTATAATGATATTAAACAAACAAGTTCTGCGCAAGCAGAATTTAAATTGAAGTTTGCGAAAAAAAAACCGAAACATCGAACTTGGAACTGACGACACGGTACTGATGAATGGGATACAAATTTGAGATTATAATTCGGAATTAAGTATTTTACTGATATTTTTTATTAGTGGATGCTACTTATCAACAAATTACATATAGACTTATATAAATTACAATGAAATATATATATGTAAGAAAATAACTACTCACCACAGTACTGAAATTTTGACTGGAACTATACGTGCATTCAGCAACTTCGCCGCTTGCATTGTTTTTAAGATGACTGTCGTGCAAAGGGCGGGCTCTGTAGGTATTTTTTTACCAACACTTGAGTTAAAACGAGGACTTGACGTTTAAACTTCAATATTTCGCAGGAATTTTGAATTTGAACATTGGACACAGAACTGATGGGTAAAAGTGAGTACAATGATTATCAATTTTTCAAAATTGCTATTATTTGAAACTATGATAAAATATGAAAAATACATTATTTAATGTTTTATAGTTTGTAGTGAAATTGAAAAATTTAAGATAAATTGAATATATTTTAAAATAAAATCACTCTAATAGTTGATTCAGGAGTTGTGACACGCCAAGGTACTGATGTTTTGAATATTTATTATGTTTTCTACAAACGTGCTTTTGAAAAAATACATTCAAATTGGGTGGACAAGTTAAAAAACCTGGATATTTTGTAATATACTAAAATATCTACAAAAAATATTAAAATACCTACTCTATTGACTGATGATATCAAGTTGTCCAACTTTTGTAGAATCACCCATATATATTTTTAAAAAAGTTCTTAATGATTTTTTCTGATTTTTATTATTTTATTTTACCCTCTTATTAAAAAGATTTTTGTATTATTACTTATTTTCTTTTAATATATTTTTAACACGGATTATATTTACAATTATCTATATTGCCACCTAAATGTGTAAAACTGACAACTCCATTTTTTTCAATTTTTGCAGTTTTTTTGCATTTCTTACAGTTTAAAACTGTTTTGTACCAAGTGACAATAAAATGGCAAAACTAAAAACAAGGGACTTGTCAAACATGCAAATAGATTTTTATTATTAAAATGGACATTTTGTAAAAATATAACATACATGTATTTATTAAGATTTTTAATAGAGATGGGAATCGGAAAGTTTCCATTTTAAGAAAACTTTCCGTTTTGGAAAGTTTCCAATTGGGAATTTATTTTCATTTTGAAAGTTTCTTTTAAGCTACCGGAAACATTCCTTGGAAACTTTCCTTGTTTTTTTCATTTAAATGTCAATTGTTTAACCGCTGATTTTCGTTAAGGCCATGATACAAGGCCAAGAAACTTTGAATAAGAATTTAATGTGTGTTAATTTAAGGCAGAAGAAGAAGTATAAATAATGTAAGTTATGTTACATAACCTCAATGAAGCCGGATTATTCAGCATCATCACAAAAAACCCTGGCATAAAAAAATATTTTCGAAATAAAAAATTTTTTTTTGAAACTTTCGGAAAATTTTGGGAATTTTCGATGGAAAGTTTCCGGGAATTTTCGTCAAATGGGAATTTTCCCATCTCTAGATTTTTATAGTATGATTTTATATTGCTCTCTTATTGAAGGGATTTGTGTAGTACCTATAACTTATTTTCTTCTGTTATATTTTTTTACACGGATTATTTTTACAACTTTCAATATCGCCACCTAAATGTGTAAAACTGTCAAGTCCATTTTTTTCATTTTTTGCATTTCTCGCAGTTTTTGTGCAGAATGAAAATAAAATGGCGAAAACTGTAAAAAATGGACTGGCAGTTTTACACATTTAGATGACGATATTCTTTTTAACGCTCAAATCTTTTATATCTAGGAAAAGAGATCAAAATCGAACTTGGAAGAGGTGCCGGAAGATGGCGAAATGAACGACCCGAGTTCGGCGATGTTGCACGAGGAGCGCGATCGCGAACGCGAGGATCGAATAGGAGCGGCGGCGCTGCTTAACAGGAGCAAGTCGATTAATCGACAGCGATTGGTCGCTCACTCCACCGCCATGGAAAGCATACAGGCCGAATCCGAACCTATCGACGAAGACGAGGACGTACCGTAAGTCTATAACTCAAGCTAGATGTATTTCTTTTTAAAATATCAACTTTATATTAGGTTTACAAATCTATGTAACGGTTTTAAATTTAAATCAACTTTAAGGGTATTCGCCCAGGGAAAAGGGGCGGAGCTTATTGCCTCGAGACTAGCAGCGCGTAGGGCAACCAAATTAAGCACTTTTTGTAAAAATTTGGCTGTAGTATTTGAAGTAATCCTTTTTATGGTGTGCTAAGAGTAAAATTTTAGCATACAACGAAATTTCTCTCAAATTTAAATTTCAAAATTTTATATATTGCATTGCATTGCATCACATAAATTATGCATGAAGAATATTTTTATGTTAACACACCAAAAAAGTATAATCTATAACGCGCCATAGTGGTTGAAAATCCCAAAAAACCGGACATGGTTGAAAATCCCAAAAATCCGGACATCGATAAAATTAAGTCATATATAAGTGAAAATGTGTATACGAGGGTTTTTAAGGTTTTCTGAGGTCGCTGATTTAATTTTCAATAAACAAAATGGCCGACACTTTGAAGAAAAACTGTTCGGATTTCGTCAAAATCATATGTGAAATAGTTTTTGTGGTCGCTGATTACTAGGACTGATGCACCTCTATTATAGATATAATACCTAGAATCTAGGTAGTATACAAAAAAGTAGAAGTAGATAAAATATCTAGAAATTAAATTATATCCATACCGGTGGATCTAAGGAAAACACGGTGATTGTAATTTTATCTTTCATATTTATTTAAGAGCTGTATTTTCTATGTATTCAACTGACTACTTTTATACATTTTGGTGATATTTGCTGATATTAATAGAAAGATCGTCACAAAAATAACTGACTCAGCCGTACTAGAAGGCTAAAATGCTTTAGACTAAACCACAATGGATTGTGGACTAAACAATCATAATTAATATCTCAATTAAACAAAAAAATCAATTAAAAATAATTAAGAAAAACTGATTTTATAATAACACATACCCAGACTGCAAAATCCCATTCTCTGCATATGTCAGGAATATTCCCAGGATTATTTCTAGCATACTAGAATATTCCCACGAATATTCCTGGCGTAATCATTTGTCCGCTTTTTGGTTAACCCAGTCATCATAAAAAGAATATTCCATGTAGCGGCATGCATAAGACTTAAGTATTGATAGGAGAATATTCCCAGGAATATTACTGGCTTAACCAAATGTCCGGTTTTTGGTTAACCCAGTCATCATAAAAAGAATATTCCATGTAGCGGCATGCATAAGACTTGAGTATTGTTAGGAGAATGTCCCTTAATTTAATTTGGGGATTACTCCTAGCTCTTATGGCCACTTATACCCAGGAACCTAACTTAACTAGCCATTATTAGTGACTGAGTAGATCAGTCCCAGTCTAATCATTCTTAAGCTGTGCCATCACAGACGCACATCTCCAACTGATATTTTTAACTTATGGGTTAATATAGTTTAAATCGTGCGTAAGCAACGGGGAGAGGTATATTGCAACTAAACTTATGATTATTAACTGGGAATGTTCTTAGATTGTGCTTGGAAGTTTTAGAGGATCATTCTAGAAATATTCCCAATGAATATTCCTAGAATGAAGCGGATTATTCCTAGATGATAAGGCATATTCCTGGAATATGACCAATTTGTAGAAAGAGAAAATTATTTATTGTTTTTTGAATATCAAGAACATTCACTGGGAATGTTCCAAGATGTTGCTTGGAAGTTGTAGAGGATTATTTTATGAAATATTCCCAATGAATATTCACTGGGAATGTTCTTAGATGGTGCTTGGAAGTTTTAGAGATCATTCTATGGAATATTCCCAATGAATATTCCTAGAATGAAGCGGATTATTCCTGGATGATAGGGCATAATCCTGGAATATTTTCGAACCTTCATTGCAGTCTGGGTACCTATTACCCAATCTGCCGAAATCGGTAATACAATCTTAACAAGTAAACTATTGGAACTATAAATAAATGTTAACAAAAATAAATACTATTTTTTTACTTAAAAATTATAAAAATTGTTCCATTTTTTAGGCCTGGCGGTATTCCAGCAAGAAACGGAAAAGGGGAGCGGTTACTATTATTTATCGGTATTATAGATATTTTACAAAGTTATAGGTTAAAGAAAAAATTAGAACACACGTGGAAATCGATGATACACGACGGGGTAAGTCTTTTTGTATTTTGAAATATTATTTTGTAACCAATTTTTTCGCAGGATACGGTATCAGTGCATAGACCTAGTTTTTACGCGCAAAGGTTTCAAAAATTCATGGCTGAAACTGTTTTTAAGAAAATACCATCACGTAAGTTTTTTTTGCTATTTTTATGCTATTTATAAACTCATAAAACATTTTGTATAAAATTACCATTATTTCATTGGAGTTATATTAATGTTAAGTAGAGAACATGTACATAATCCAATAATAGTATTTCTCTCAATTAAGTAAATGTATTTTAAATATTCTTGTGGGATTTTAAATATAATTTATTCCAATTAATATATAATTTACTTAATTTTATTTTAAGTAAATGTATTTTAAATATTCTTGTGGGATTTTAAATATAATTTATTCCAATTAATATATAATTTACTTAATTTTATTTTTAAAGTCATGTTCTCTATATCATTTAGGCAGTTGTGTATGTAGCTCACCTACTTTTTAATGTATTCCTGTAGATTAATTGTAAGATTCATTGTGAAATCCACAATCAAGGTTTATTCTAAATTAAAACAGTGACTAAACAAATTTACTAAAAATATTTATAATATAACAGAAAAAATACGCTTTTTAACATTATTTAGAATCAAAATTATTAACAAAACATTAAAAAATAAAGTGGTAATTTTTAAATAATAATTATTAATAATTAGAAAATTATAAAACTAGTTCAAATAATTAATATTTTTATTTTATTCTAAAGTAAAATCTTAGAGCATGTAACACATGGTATATTAATGCATATTTCCTTAGGATTTAGGACATGTAGGGGTCCCCGTTATTTATTGGTCGATAAATATGATATTTATCTACGTTTCCAAGTCTATTAAAATGGCATTTAGAAATCTGAGGTTCTCAAACAATTTGAAAAAATAATTAAAACCTGTAAAAAAAAATCGTTATTCCAGGAAATTTTGAAGAAGTAAATTTTTCATGTAAACATATACATTTATCTACATTTTCATTCAGTTTGTGATTTTTCGCGCCTACTATGAAAATGTGTATACTTCAATGTAAAACTCAGTTTTTTTTAAATTCCCAAGAATAACAAAGTTATAACGATGTTTGGTTTTAAAAGCTTTTTAGTTTTTTAAGTATTTTTTATTTCCAATTTATGAATTTCATTTTAATAGGTTTTAAAACACACCTTTCTCTAATTTAACCGATCCTGTAGGTCTACAAATAAAAAAAATACCCATAGAAGTTAACACATAGAAGGTTACTTGGTACACCCTGTAGAACTATAAAACTTTATATTAGTATTTATAAATAAATTTATATTTATTAAGGAAGAAAAACACATATTTTTTTAACGCAGGAAAGGGCGGGAGGAGTTCTTTAAAACGATCAAAAACCAAAAATTTAAATTTTATGGTTAAAAATAAGGTTTTAAAGTGTCGGAAAAATTGGGGAAAAACCTGTATTTTTTTTTCGTTTTTTTTCCAGGCCTTGGAAAAATTGACTTTTTGGAAAAAAATGATTTTTTGCGTGGAAAATATACAATTTGAAAAAAAGTAGCAAACTTCACATTATTTTAATTTAAAAAATTGTCCCTACAAAAAAACTAAACATTGAATTAAATTATATTGATTTAAGAAAATAAATGTAAACATTAAATACACTGTTGGTTGGGTCTTTTTGCAAAAAGGAGTTCATTGAAAATATCCAATTGCAAAATAATGAATGATTTATAAAGTTTAATTACAAAATTATAATTTTATAAATCGAAGTGTCAAATAAAACGAAAGTTATGTTAATACAGCACCGAATGTATTTTTTTGCTACCCGGTAAAATATTCTTACTGAATTAAAATAAAAGGAATAATTATAATCATAATATTACGAATATATTTAACATCGAAATTCACTTTTTTTTCGATATCAGTGTACGGAAAGTATCTAAAAATTTGAAAATTTTCAGAACAATTTCCCAATTTTTCCGTTTTTTTTTCGAAAAAAACGGTATTTTTTGGCCGGCTCAATTTTTCCTCAAATTTTAAAATCCTAGTTAAAAATAATATTTTTATGTTTAGATTAAAACTTTGTTGTTATTTTTGTGGTTTTAAGTGTTTTGTTTACTTTTTAAAATTAATTTATTAAAAACCATTTTTATTATGGTTGATTTATTAATTTTGGACCAAAAAGCATAAAAGCAATAAATTAAATATCAAGGTGTTAATATATATCCGATATTTTTATATTTTCTAATCCTACTAGGGGCACAATTCGAAATAAAAGTCCGTCAACAGGCGTGTTTTCTTTTAATAATAAGAATATTCTTACCATATGATTATAATATTGTTTGGAAATTTATGTATTAAAATTTTTTTTAATTCAAGGAAAAGGCGTTTTCAATATTTATTTGAAGAAAATTCTAAAAACTAAAAATTCTTTTATTTTTTAATGTTTAGGAATGTAATATATGAGGTTCTAAATAAAAAATCACTGTTATAATTTTTGATGCAGTAGCAGTAGTTCTCAGTAGATTTTGATCTCTTACTATGTGTGTGTTTCAATGCTTCATGTAGTGGACTTGCCTGAAATTAAAGGCAATCATCGCAAGTTTCGTACCCTGGTTACCAGCTACATAGGTAAAGTCCACCATACACATTATTACAATTATTAATTAATTAATACATTTTTTTCTTTTAATTTTTTTGCTAGGTTTTTAATTTTTCGTTTAACATTATCCCTTTATTTGCATATTTTTAGATTAGACGTGAATATTATTTTATGTTTTTTACTTTACCAAGATGATTTTTTTACACGGAGTAACACAAATATTTTAACAAGTTAACTTTGTGTTGCTCTTTGTATTTTATTGCAAAGACTTTTAAAGATGATTTGTCATGTAATTTTATTCACTTCTATGTAATAAGGTAACGTTATTTGTTTGATTGCCGTGTTTTTAATGTCTAATGTTTTTCGTGTATCTAACAAAGCAAAAGATGGCATTATTAATGCTTCAAAATAATCTTGTTTGTATGTGCAGAAATACCTTAATGTTTATTTCCTTTTGTGGATTTGATTGATTGAAGTTTAATTCTGTTATTATTTTATGTGTTTATTTTGAATTTATTTGGATGTATGTTTATAAGCTAAAGTAATAACAGAATTTATAAATTTAAAGGTTTATGCATTATTTTTATTTTATAACTAAATGGATTTTTAAAATTTATTTCGGACAATTTTTAACTTATTTGATTGTTACAGCTTTAAAGCATTCGCCATCAAAAAGAAAATCATTGTCAAGGCCTCCAAGACCCCATGAAGAATTTGATAACAATAGTAAGTTATTTTTTAAATTATTTGCTTTAATACTATCTCCAATAAAATTTATCAATATATTAGTAATTCTACATATTATCAGGGAATTTTAATGGAATCAGCTTGTAGCTTCTTAAAAAAGTTAATTAAATTTAACAACTTTAAAAATTAAAACATTAATAATTATCAGTATTTTGTCCAGTCTGGAGGTTTTAAGATTCCAAAAAAGAAAAATTGAAAAAAAAAACGTTTTTTATGGACCATTGAAAAAATTGGAAAAACAAATAAAAATTAAAAATTATCGAAATAGAAAAAGTAGTCTAAAATATATTAATTATAAATTATATAATAGTATTATTTATCAAGTTTAATAAACTTCATTTAAGTCACGAATTTTAATTAGGTACGAACGAAGCTTGCTAGCGCGTGTTTAATAAAAATGAGAAAAGTTTATAAATAAGTTGCATAATATACTGGCATCAAAATTAACTAGAAACTGTTTAAATTATATATAGAAGCAGAAATTTTTAATGCTTTATCGGCAAATATTAGTTTACTGCCGGTTACTACAAACTGGAGTTAAAGCTCCTGAATATAATCTTCTTAAAGTGCACTTTATTTTGACGATTGTATGACATTTGACAACTCAAAAAACCACAGCTTCTCACTGTATTTAAAAGATCATGGAACAAGTTTATTTTTTCAATTTTTCAGAGGAAAAACCTGTTTTTTTGGCAATCAATTTTTCCGGAAATTTCAAATCTATTCCAGACTGTTTAAAGTTTATACAGTAAAATATTGATATCAACAAAAGTTTACAAATTCCTGATTATAGCACCAAGAGCATATTTGTGTATTTGTAAAAAGTTAAGTCCAAAGTTTATTGTCGCTATCTTTGTTTTGTTTGAACATTAGCTTAATATTTCTAATAATACTGGTCAACTAAAGTTGAATTTTAAAACGACTCATTATAAAAATGTCATTGTATTGAATTACATAGAACTTAAGTATTGCTTTGTGAATGTCTCCATGTACTAATATAATTGTGGTGTTGGGTTCATAGTTCCTGTTCAGGCTCAAGTCAATTTTCATCAGCAAAACGGGAGCAAAACTGGTGAGTGGCTAATTCATTTTTGTTAATTTAACATTTATTTTTACGGTGGCAGATACCAGTATGAATGTATTTTTTGGATATACCCTGGGCTTAACTGCAAGTATATAACTGATTAATTTTGTAATAATGACGATTTATATTATGATAATTTTTTGTACAGTCATGTGTGATAAAAATCGAAATTGCCGCGCATGTGGCTTCAAAATTATTAAAATAATAAGATTCATCTTATGCCCTATGATTTACGACTCCTTGAGCTTTTCAGTGTTTCTACCGTTTTGTAATGGTTTTTATTTTTTTAAGTTTATTAATGAGCATGAACTTGTACATGTAGTAGAAAAATATACATTTTCAAGAATTTCTTATGAAATGTATAGTGTTTTTATGTAATACATAACACTATCAGTGGCGGCCGGTGACATTTCGTTTTGGTGAGGCAGGCATGGTTTCGCCCTCATTTAAAGGCGAAAAAATTTTTTTAAACCCAACTTAAAAAAACTGACGTCGCAGTTCACAACCTATACTTAAAACTAAGTAAAAAACAAAGACTGTGGTGGGGAAGGAATCCTCTACTTTGTCAATGAAATATATTTTATTGTAAAAATGACGTTTATTTTAAATAAACCTCATTTTTGTCTAATTCATATTTCATTGTTCAGCAAGAACCACATGAAGGAGGAAAGTTCAAAAGAAAGTCAACAATATCGGTACAATTTCTCACTGTAATATCCATAATGACTAAATTCACATAAATCACCAAGTTCAATTAACTAAACTCACAGAATAAACCACTTACAAAAGAATCATAAAATATACAAACTCATAGAAAAAGAATAAACAAAATATTGCGTAAATAACCACAGATTTGTTCTTTAAACAGTTCAGAATTTTATAACCAAAACACACCTAAAGAAGGAATCTGTATTTATTTTATTGGTTACTGTGATGGCTACAAGATGGCGATAGTGTTAAAATATGTTTATTTTAGAATAGAAATATAATTTCGATTAAATCGATTTATTATAAGAAAAATATTACCATTTATTATTGCATTTTATAAAACGTGTGAAGTATAATTTATCTAAAATTCCGCAACAGTGTTGCAACAACACCTGCTTATTTCCTTGGATGTAGGCGTGCCTGCCTCGCGTATGCTAATACGAGAGATGATATCGCATTGTAATAGAAGGAGACAACAAGGCTAACGCCAATCGTGAGTCTAAATTAGTTCAGGCATGCTTCTGAGCCAATCATCTAGCTATAAATATTAGTTTAAATTGCGGTCGTTTCAAATTCAAATAATTTAAATGTTGCTGGGTATTCCACGTATAAAATAAATGAATTTTATTGACTATTTCACAATTCATGTTATCCAAATATTAAAAATTTATATTATATTATAGAAAGTAAAATATTTAAATTATACTTAATTTTTTAATTCTCTATGATGAGGCACTGCCTCACCTGCCTCCCCTGACGGGCCGCCACTGAACACTATATTTCGAAAATTCCGGACCAAGTTATTAACTTATAAAATGTTTTTTTTAAATTATGTAACTTAAATATGTCTTTAATAATAGATTAACACAATATGTTAATAGTGACAAACCGAAAATCCAACGTTTCAAAAATTATGATTTTTATTTCTGTTTCATTTCAAATTCCCGATAATTCGAAACTATAGTAAAGCTAAACAAAGTGTTGCCTCTCTTCACTTAGTTTGTGGATTTTATAAAAATGTCAATATTTTCGTGAATCTATTACAATAAATAAACAATCAATATATTTTTTTTAATATAAATATAACATTATTTTACATTGGCCTATTTTTAGGCCAAATCGCTTGACACCTTTTTTGAACAAAGATAAATGTGTAATGTTAATCTTAAATTTGTAAAAGCGTATTTTACCAAAACTAAACGATAAATAATTTTAAAATTTTGAAATAACTTAGAAATACCGTATTTTCATTTGAAATACATACACTAGAGTGCACCTGAACGCCCCTTCCCAGATGCATTGTAGGCGACGATTTAGTTATGTTTGCATTATATAGTGTGTATTTCGAGCGTCTTAACATAAATTAATTTCTTTTTTTTAATAATAAGTCCTACACATTGCAAGAGAAAATGGATATGATCAGCTGGTCTTTAGTGGGCAATTTTCTATGACAAACAGTTAAATATCCGGATCGTTTTATTCCGTCAATTAATTAACTTTTTTCTTTATTTTAATTTATTTTTAAGAGGATTATTTTTTTTTAAGTTTTTAAAGAGATTTTTTTATGTTTAAATGTTTTTTTATAACAAAACACTTTTAGTTAAATGCTAAACGAATAATGATTTTACACCTTTAATTAATAATTTACTGTTAAAAGTGGTTAGGTTACATTTTAAGAGCAACGCCGGTGAAGGGTCTACTGCTGAATTACGAAAAACTTCTCTCCGCGTCTCCCTCTCTTAAAAATTAATTAAATTAAATGCTAAACGAATAATGATTTTACACCTTAATAATTAATAATTTACTGTTAAAAGTGGTTAGGTTACATTTTAAGAGCAACGCCGGTGAAGGGTCTACTGCTGAATTACGTAAAACTTCTCTCCGCGTCTCCCTCTCTTAAAAATTATTTTCTCACTCTTAAAAACCTGTCAACATGTAAAATGAAAATACGGTATATATTTTGAATAATTTATCATAATTGAACGGTCAACGGGATGAAGGGGTAATGACATTTTTAATAATATAGAAAATAAAATATTTTGAATGTAAATAAAAATAAATTTGATACCTATTGCAATTAGAATATTTTTCTTCCTTTATTATATTTTTATTTTTTAACCTCGTCTTCCACTTGCCCCTTCAATTATAATTTCTAAGGAATAATATATATGTTACGGCTAATGTGCAAACTTGGATAGTTTATAAACTAGCTGGATAGTTTATAAACTAGCCAAACTGTCAGCTATTTTAATTGAAAATGTATTTTCAACTAAATTAGCGGCTAGTTTACAAAATAACCAAGGATCTTGGCTAATTTACTTGAAATTATTAGGGAAACTAAAATAGCTGGATAGTTTGTATACTATCCAATTCAATTTGGCTAATATGAAAACCAAAATTTCTAGTAACACAAAATAGCCAAGCTTTAGCTAGTTTGTAAACTAACCAACTAATTCTTTGGCTAATTTATTAAAAAAGTGAGGTTACGGCATTGTTTTTTGTTTTGCCGGCTTAACCGGATTTGTTTTGTGCATTTTAACGTTTTTAAAATGAATCATAGGCAAAATTTTAACGCTTCCTTGTTAGAAAACTTAACAACACAACCCTACCGACCCCGCCCCATTGAAAAAAAACTTGTAAAAAAATAATTTTCATAAAACCCCTCAAAAGTCAAAATTGTGACGTTATACGAAATTAGCCAGAGAATTGGTTGGTTAGTTTACAAACTAGCTAAAGCTTGGCTATTTTGTGTTACTAGAAATTTTGGTTTTCATATTAGCCAAACTGAATTGGATAGTATACAAACTATCCAGCTATTTTAGTTTCCCTAATAATTTCAAGTAAATTAGCCAAGATCCTTGGTTATTTTGTAAACTAGCCGCTAATTTAGTTGAAAATATGTTTTCAATTAAAATAGCTGACAGTTTGGCTAGTTTATAAACTATCCAGCTAGTTTATAAACTATCCAAGTTTGCACATTAGCCGTAACATATATAATAAATAATAATTAAATATAAAACTAAAAATTTTTAAAGACAAAAATAAGAATAAAAACCATTATAAAAAAGTAAGCCTGTATAAACTGTACCATGTAATCTCATACCATTTTGGATTCTCTTTCATGCCGCATCCGCTTGGATTCTGCCTTAAAAAATCCCAATTTATCCCAAATTTCAAAAAAAATTACGAAAACAGTCAGTCCCACCGATACGATACCTGCCACCCAGAAAATCTCGTCCCCCACGTCGCACCATCCGACTTCCAACCACCACCATCACCAATCGTCCAATATTTACAACGTTCCCCTCACCTCTCCCCCTCCCTCAGCCGGCGGCTCGGCCTCGTATCCCGCCATTTTGGTCGGCCGCACGGGCGGCAGCAGCAGCGAGCAGAACAAGCCGAAGGTGCCGCCCCCGGTGCCGCCTCGTGGCACGCCGAAAGCAAAACGAAGCGCCACCGCCACTCCAGAGCTCAATGGAAAAGGTGTGCATGCCTATAAGATGATATGTTATGCGGAAAGGGAAAAGGGAAGTCTTTTCGGAAAGAAACAAATTTGAGTTATTATTTTGTTCATATACCACACTAAATTCTGAACATTTTGAGACCAAATTCATTCTTAAAAGTTTTTTTACATTTGGATATTAACTATATAGCCGATATCGACTTCAAGCGTGTAGATGCGATCTTAAGCTTCTTGAATCAATATCATTTCAAAAATCAAAATGTTCGACCCTGATCAATGTTTTTCCTCCTTCAAATTCAGCTGTGCAAAATAGGTCCCTTTTTCCTTTCAGCAGTCCTATAATAGGACAGATTGCAAGTTTGGCCGATTTTTTTTTATTGGCTTGCAAAAATTTAAAAATGCACTGTAGATGAAAATTATTCCTTTTTTGTCATCTAACATGTTCAACCTTTGCAGGAGTAATGAAAATTAAGTATGTCAAAGTTACATATTTATTGATAATAAGAAACAAAGTAGACCCAATTGTTAATTAATGACAATATGGGTTTAAAAATGGATTTATATGTTGAACAGAAGCCGAACCGACGAACGTTACACTTTTGTGTTCGACTAATAAATAGTACAGTCAATCTGTCGAAAAAAAGGTTGTCTTCGAAAAAAATTCCAGTCGTTTTTTGCATGGATCATTTGGAACTGAAAAGAAAAGCTTAACCCCAACTATACTTTCTCTATGACCCCAACTCTGCGGGTTAAGGTGAACTACTACTATTCGTATATTTTTTTCTTCTACATTTGCCCACTACATTTTTTGTTCACAAAAATGTATTCTAAAACTTACCTATTTTCGAGAAAAATGTGTTTTCAACTTAATCCGCGGGGCCCGGTACTATAATTGATAGAGATTTATGTGTATATTTAGTAGCAGATATTTGTAAATTTGTTTTAATCTTTAAAATGCCATGCCGACAGAGGGAGTCGACTGTACTCTAAACATACCCATTCGATTTTTTTGGTATTATGGCTTCATACAAAGTGTACCAAATAATATACAAAGAAAACATTTGGTTTAGCAATGTTTGTTTTTTGTCTTTTAAAACAATTTCGTAAGTAAAAAAAGGACATTATTTTTTAAATTTGTATTTATTGTTTTACTGATTATAAAAAGTAAATATTATACATACAACAAATTGTTTGATCATTCAGTTTAATATTTGGTACAACTCCCAAACTTAATCAAAAACCTTTAATCAAATCTCAATCTTTAAACTCAAATCTCAAGAAAAAATTCTCTCTACAGTGCAGCCCGCCGCCATCAGGCAATCGCATGCTAGTTACCTTAATTTGCTTGCGCACAACTATTACGAAATTAAATCGGACAAATCCGAAGATTACCTATTGACTTACAACAATAGATCGCTGAACGCTGACACGCTGCTTAGTAGAACCCTTCCCGACAACAACGCCACTGCTATTTACATAGATATCGAAGAATATTTTTAACACCCAAAATGTTTTTATTGCCCCCTTATTTACTTACCCCATGCTTTTGTATGCTGCGTGTGCGTTGCTTTAACATTAGATTGTTTTATTAGGGTGTCCAAAAATTCGTTTGTAAAATTTATGCCAAGTTTTTTTCTACCGAGTATTTTTATTGTCAAGTAGACGCAATACTTAAATCACATCATGCTCAGTATGAACAAACTTAAGGTAAGTTTATCAGAAGAGTGTTTGTACACCCTGGATATTATAGGAGTATTATAGAAAAGTAGGATACGAGTCCATGTGTATTTTTTGACGTTTTTTGTGTGGAGAATTGTAACAAAATATCTTTTAATAAAGGCATACTTTTCTAAAGCAATTTTGCACGTTAATGTTTAAATTTTAAAAAATATAGATGGATTTAAAGTACAAGTACTTATATTGAATTATTTTTGCTAGGTCCACACACATTTGAAAACAGCAGACGAAGAATAAGCTATGCTTGTTCTATTTTATAACATTCAAATTTTGTGTGTACTGTTGTATTAACATTTGTTTGTGTTCCATATTTGTTGTGATAGTTTTGGTTGTATTAATTAATACAATATTCCGACATATAAAGTATTGCATTTTAGAACAGAAAACGTAACATGTGCTTTAGGTAATCATAGTTAATTAAATTTTTAATTTCTTTGAATTGCTGTGATATTATTAATGAGAAAATGTTTGGTTTTAGAAACGTTAATAATTTTTTACTCTTTACAGTTTTTTTGAATAAAACTTATTTTTCAATTTAAATATAAACAAATTATTAACGTTTTTTTTTTAATTCTTGTACTAAAGTGTGTGTCTATCGTTTCCCAACTTAACTGCATACAGTCACGAAAATGACTATGACTGTATTTCAGAATGTTTTGCATCATTACTTTTTGAGATACAGTCATGACAAAATTAAAAAATGTGCATCACAATATTCACCAATTGTGCATCACCCAACCACAAGCATTCATTTAACGCTAGCGCGTTTACGTGTTTGCGCTCATTGTTCGCTAGTAGCGAGTTATGTAGAGTACGCTTGTGTTGCGCAGGTGTAGCGCCCAGCTGCTGCAGCACGCCGCCGCCCACCTTCGACGAGGCGCTGGAGCACCGGCCGCCCACCGCGCCTCCGGAATCGGCCTCGTCTGCGCAGGCGCGACTGAGAATGGGCTCGCACGGGTCGCATCACTCGCACGTCTCCCATCATCACATGTCGGTCAAGAGCTACAAGGACGACGTTGTGAGGTAAGAGGAATTGCCGATAAAAGTTGTACCTTTTTTGTCGAAGAAAACAATGAAATACGAATGAGTAATGTAGAATTAAATGCGTACATGTGGTAACTACTGTATTACTTTTATTGTAGAACTAAAGCCTCATTCAGAACCTCGTAATTAGTGAAAAAAATTAGTGGTTTCAATTATACTTATAATTAACACAAAACGATCATTCACAATGGGCAAAATTAACATCTAAAATTAAGGGAATTTGCTAAAAGATTTTTAATTCTTCTTAACCTGACATAAACAATATTAATTATATTTAAATAATAATTTGTACAACCATTACAATAATATTTATATAACCTTCACTGGCAAATTTTCAAACTTATATTATATTAAAATAATAATTTGTACAATAAGGTGGGCCGAATTTTAACAATTTCGGAATTTTGATTTGGAATAGTGTGAAAAAGTTGCGTTTTGGCAATACAAAGAAAATGTTTATTTTCGATTTTTTTGTCAATTTGGTTTTTTCACCCTCTACAGGGGGTTAAAAATTTTTAAAATTTCGAAAAACTGAAATTAGTAATTTTGGCTTGGAATAGGGAGAAAAGCTTCCTCTTGATAAATGAAAGAAAATATTTAACTTTTATTTTCCCCTCAATTTGCGATTTCCACCCTATACAGGGGGTTGAAAAATTAAAAACCACGATATAACTCAAATTGTGGAGCAGCTCTTCGCTTTTTCAATATTTATTAGGCTTATAATAGATATTAAAAACCCAGAACTCACCGCGGGGAGGTGACTGCTCAGCGAGTTCCATCCTACCCTCCCTCTTCCGAAAATCAAGTGATTTACTGATTAAAGTCTTTTTTAGTTTCAAACTGGGGCATTGATGTTCGTGAATCTATCTTTGCTTTAATAAAACCATCCCTTTTATCTATGCCAACAACTGAACAAGATGCTTCCGTCACTAACTTGACACATCGTTCGACCGCTTGGGTGTGGCACGGATATGACTCACATTCAAAAATTAATTAGTTAAGTTTGGGTAATGTGAAAATCCGAATTTTATGTTGATTATCTTTATTTTTCGCATTTATAATCCGTCCAAGAGCAAGCTCTCTTACAAAATTACAAGAATCGGATAACATACATAACAGCAGGTTCTCAGGATGTAAAAAATATGAGTTGCGCTGAATCACAGGGTAAATAATACTTTTTAACTCTTGGTTTAAATATCGGCTTACCTTTATAGTTTGAAAAACATGCTTTGCTTTGTGTTTAAATGATGGATTAAATTTTATTAGAAACCACATGGGAGCATATACTTTCAAAATAAAAGTAGTCAACTGCATTAAATTTGTGTTGGGATCTTCTGTGCCGATATACAGGCGTAAGATACGATTTGCCAAAGTTAGCCAACATGCATGGTTTAATTTACCAGGATTTCGATTTATTAAGTCCGTGGAACAGACGCCTGAGGAAATTGCTTCACAGATTTTATATAAATAGTTTTAATCTGTACTTAAGTCACTACACGTCACAGGAGGTAGCACACAATATTTTGGTAGTTTGCAACTGGTAAAGTTTCGCAGTCTTGTATTTGCTTTCCCAATGGACCTGCAAATGCTTTAGGTCCAGATGTTTGCCCATCAATATGCTGGAATATATGTCTAAGAGGGAGTTCATGCTGTAATGGTCGACCTAATTTCACCTTAATTTGGGCAATTACACCATTTTTCAACCCGGTGTTCACTACGGTCCCGTCACAACCAACCGCAACCAGATCACTTAAATCATATCCCTTCTCTTGCAAAAATGAGAAAATGCTGTTGCATATACCTTTTGCAGATCCATTGGAAGGTACAGTATGACCCAAAAAGATGGATCCTGGTTCTTGCACTAATGTGATGTGCTCCTGAACTACTGACCGTCGATGATGTTTTTTATCCACTGTTTTAACCATTAGGGTTTTGTCTTTTCTTCCATCAAAATATATTGCTTTGAGAGATTCATTTTCTTGTTTAGAATAGGATTTTCTGGATTTTTCTCTGACCCGCCTCAATTTATTTTTGTCTATCACATGCGTAGTGTCATCCTTTGAAACGATTCCAAGTCTTGCAATACTGCTGTAACGACTGCAGCTGCAGATCTATCTGACAAACCAAACCTGTCACAAATTTTAGCAACCTTAGGAAGCCTTACAGTATTTAGGGGCGCCTTTAATGTTTTGCCAATTCCCGCAGAGGTGGAGGGCAAGTCGCTTACATTTAAGATGTTTGATTGACACATGTCCGACGTTTTTTTTCTAGATTTTATTGTTATTTCATTTTCAAAGTTTAATTTCTTATTTTGCGATTTTTTTTCCATTCTAATTGTTTTCTTCAATATTTTTTTTGTTTCGTTGGCATCAATTGAACCAATTACCATCATTCTGACACCCCGCTGATCTTCTTCTACTTTTAAATTATAACTTTCACTTTTTCTAGAACTTGGATACCTCAGAAGCTTCAAATATTTTTCATGCTGCGCCTTGATCAATTGTAGAACACGTTTTCTTGTTACCGTGGGTATTGACGACTTCTGCCATAAATACAAAATCTTGTCGGCAAGTATATTCGATATATCAAAAAACTTTGGCTCTTGTCCTGAATTGGGAGTCTTCAATCTATATCTAATGCATACATAGCATTTTAAAACTTCTTCTATACTTGAAAGAATATTGTCTTTTAAATCAGAAGGAGAGCCTAGTAAAGGACACTTAATATCGCGCCTCGTATAAAAAAGCTTTGAACAACTCATGTCTGAATATTTATACCTACTACAAATGAAACTCAACTTTTATCGCACATATTAATTTTTACCGCAACGAGCCGAGCATAGCGCGAGCCTAGATAAAACTAATATTAAGTTGAAAACAATAAATCACTGAGCGTTATTAGATCAAGGACGCGACAACCCCAACACAGAAATAGAGGTGTTTAGGAAAGATAGAGGTAAAAAAGACGAAATATTTTCTGCCCTTTTCTTCGGTACACTAAAAAATCTTAATTATATCGTGATTTTTCATTTTTCAACCCCCTGTAGAGGGTGGAAAACGCAAATTGAGGAGGAAATTGAAGATAGATATTTTTCATTTGTCAAAAGGAAGCTTTTTCACCCTATTCCAAGCCAAAATTACAAATTTCAGTTTTTCGAAATTTTAACCCCCTGTAGAGGGTGAAAAAACCAAATTGACAAAAAAATCGAAAATAAACATTTTCTTTGTATTGCCAAAACGCAACTTTTTCACACTATTCCAAATCAAAATTCCGAAATTGTTAAAATTCGGCCCACCTTATTGTACAACCATTACAATAATATTTATTTAACCTTCACTGGCAAATTTTCAAACCAAATTGACAAAAAAATCGAAAATAAACATTTTCTTTGTATTGCCAAAACGCAACTTTTTCACACTATTCCAAATCAAAATTCCGAAATTGTTAAAATTCGGCCCACCTTATTGTACAACCATTACAATAATATTTATTTAACCTTCACTGGCAAATTTTCAAACTTTTTGCTTTTGACATAAAATATCCGCGCACATGCCACTAATTGAAAAGTACTACCACTAATTTTGTGAACAACACTGTGTATATTCGTAAGACAAACTTTTACGTTAATTGAAACCACTAATTTATTCCACTAATTACGAGGTTCTGAATGAGGCTTAACTTCAGCACAATTGTGCTTAGCACGGCAAATTACATGTCCGAATGGCATGCAGTTTTAACATTAAATGTTAATAAATTTTATTAAATAATTTTTTAATTTCAAATTTTATTGGTTTAAAATTTTCCCAACTAAAAATTTTAGGTTTACATTTATAAATTTAAAATATTTTCGATCATGCATTGAAAGACAAAATTTGCTAACTAACACTTCTGTCTTAAAACAATATTATTTTTAATCAATTTTTGCAAACATTTTCAAGTATCATTCTGCCCTGCTAAGCAAGACTGCCGTATCTACAATATTAAGTAATAAAATACAAAAGATCATTTTAATTGTTAAAAATTATATTTTGTCCTTTATTACTTATAGACCAGTGCAGAAGCCTTTAAAAATGGTAAAAAGAGAAAAAAAATAACAGTAGGATGAAACCCATTGGAAAAGGAGGGGAATATAATAAAAATTAAAGGAAAAATAAATTACGGGCGATCTGAGTTCGGGAAGTGGGAGGGGGGGGGGTTTAAGGGTAAAAAATGGTTTATCTCGATTTCCGGCAAAACTACAAGTCCTATGGAAAAAGTTAAATGTCAAAGTTGTAGGTAATAAAAAGATCTACAACTTCTGTATTTACAATTTTTTCACATAACCTCAAAATTTATGTGAAAAATTCAAAAAACCAAGTTTTTGGTTTTTTATTTTTATCTTTTTCAAAAAAAAAAATTTTTTTCCACGAAATTTGGTGAGAACTTACCTTCTTATGTCCCAAATACAGAGTAATTTATTTGATTTGAAATATTTATTATTTCGCCTTATTTTGACTTAATATCAAAAAAGCACTCTAATTTTCAATCGAAAATTCTCGCGTCAAAATATCAGCTTTTTTCAAAAAGTCGGTGTGCTTTTTGTTCGATGAACTCTCTACTTTCTGATGGTGTAAAAAAATATATACATTACTATGGTAAATGTTCTCAGAAAATACAAAACATATTATAATTATTTAAGTCAGATTGCCCGTAATTTATTTTTCCTTTCATTTTTATTATATTCTCCTTTTCCAATGGGTTTCATCCTACTGTTATTTTTTTTGGTTTTAAAAATTATCGACCCTGGTCTATTAATATTGTAGATACGGCTGTTTTGCTTAGCAGGGCAGCATTTTTTAAATAATTCCTCAAGTATAATTTATTTGGGCAGAATTTTGAAAATCTTAAATAAATATTTTATAAAATTATTTAGATGCAACTGTAAAAGTTTAAGTTTAAAAATTGTTGTTTTAATATTTTATTCTACTAAATTATTAAATTATTATTAATGATAGTCGATAAATTTTTAATACAAAAATTCTCAAATTTTCTCAAATTTTAGTTTTAAATTTGAAAGTGGTAATTTTTGGATGATTATAATAATTATTATTGAATATCATTTAAATGACTCTTGAGAAATAAAAACTAATAACTTTTATTTTTAACAATTTTAAATTGATACATTTTTAACACAAAAATATTCTCACATTTAAATGTAAGTCGGTTATTTTTTAATTCAGTGTAAACGCTGCAGACTTCGCGCTTTGTACGTTTCACTGACTATGAACTATGCCTAAAATTAACCACTCTAGAAAGAGACAGCGTATATATACGTCGTTTGCTAAAGAAAGCTACGTTTACACCTTGTAAATCGACTTACATTTAAATGTAAAGTTATAAATTTTGTGTTGAAAATGAATCAATTTAAAATTATCAAAAATAAAAATGTTTGGTGTAAATTTTTAAAAAGTCATTTAAATGTACTCTGCGCGTCAAAATTAACGCATAACTATACAACGCCTTTACGAACCTTTATGAAATTTTGTATAAAAATACTTCAACTTATATCTCAGTTAAGGTGTTAGAGGGTTTTTCGAGAAAATGTTTTTAAATCCCTTTTATTTAATAATTAAAAAACGTTCCAAAAATAAGTTTTAGGCATTTTTTGAAAATTTTCTACAAATCAAATGAACAGTAACGAAGAACAGGCGCTTCAAAGTCGGTAAAAATGACCCCTTTTTGATTATTTTGCTTAAAAGTGGTCATTTTTTACGACTTTGAAGCGCTGTATTTTCGTTACTGTTCGTTTGATTTGTACAACATTTTCAGGGTATTAAAAAAATTCCCTATAAAAGTTTTTTTTTTAGCGTTTTTTATTATTAAATAAAATGGCTTTAAGGATATTTTATTGAAAAACCCTTAACACGTAAACTGAGATATAAGTTAAAGTATTCTTATCCAAAATTTTATAAATATTGGTAAAGGCGTTCTAGAGTTGGATTTTTTTTACTTATTATGCGTTAATTTTGACGCGCAGTGTATGTAATGTGAGAATGTTTGTATTCAAAATTTATCGACTATCTTTTAAATGACTGTACAAATTTAAACCGATAATTTATTAGAATAAAATATTAGAACTACCATTTTTTTTTTTTTATCTTTTAAAACATCAATAAAGTTAAAAACTTTAATCAAACTATTATCTAATAAAACGGCATGCCATATGTCGCCTTTAATTCCAGAAAACTCAAACTTAAAATTCGAAATTTCTAAAATGCTCAAGTTTTGGAAATTTTTAAAATCGTTAAAATCAATCAATCAATTTTTCCGGAAATTTTAAATCTGTATTATGTAGAATAACTGACATAAAGCTGAAATCTCGCGCGAAGAATTTCTTTTAAAACATCAATAAAGTTAAAAACTTTAATCTTCAAACTATTATCTAATAAAACGGCGTGACAACTATCCGCCTTTGGTTCCAAAAAACTCAAATTTAAAATTCTAAAATGCTCAAGTTTTGGAAATTTTTTAAAACGTTAAAATCAATCAATCATTTTTTCCGGTAATTTTAAATCTTTGGTTCCAAAAAACTCAAATTTAAAATTCTAAAATGCTCAAGTTTTGGAAATTTTTAAAATCGTTAAAATCAATCAATAAATTTTTCCGGAAATTTTAAATCTGTATTATGTAGCATAACGGACATAAAGCTGGAATCTCGCGCGGAGAACAAGTCTTCGCTGTCAGTCGAATCTGGTAGTTCGGGTGCCGGTCACTCGAGCGGCCACTCGCGCGGCCTCGCATGGACGCCGCCCGCCTCCGTCGAGGGATCGACGCCCACCTGGACCGAAGGTACACCCTCTTTTACCGAATCCTCAAGTAGCGGCGACATGGGTGAGTACACTCTGTAGACTGTTGCTGCGAACAAGCTTCTCGCTTGGAAGAAATCACATAAATACAGTTTTACTGAAAATTAGAATTTCGAATGTTAACCTCTACGTAGGGAGATAAAAGCGCGTACATACGAAAATACGTAAATAACACGTTGAAACGACCGGGGTAATGTGACAAGTTGGTGATAATATACATATTAGACTGGTCCAAAAAAATCTATTTTTTTTTTAAATATATCGAAAATATTGTTTTGTGTGACTTAAAAAAATTATGATGAAAGTTTGAGTCCATAATATTAATATTAAGATTTAAGATTTTTTTTCCTGAGCGAGTTGTTTTAGAACTTCCAAACCATTGAGTTTAACAAAATTGACTTAGGAATATTTTTTGAAGAAAATTGAATGCTCTACAAAAAAGGTTTGATTGGAATTTCCCGTCATAAAAAATTGGAATAGTTTTACAATTTGATCTTTTAACTTTGGAATTTTGTAATTTATATAAAAATCAGTACCCGGAAAAAACTGATATATATTCTTATGGGAAATCAAATGCTCAACAAAAAAAGTCTCTCAACATTTTTGGCTAAATTCACTCCATCAAAAGTTATTCAAGGTTAAATTTGAAGTCAAATGAAATTCTTTTTTTTTTTGCTCTATATTTTTTTTGGGTCAGTTAAAAACTTGAATTCTTTTATCGATGAAAATCTTTATGTTATTGATAAAATTACTGAAAATTAAAAAAATAATAACACATTAGAATTGTTTGCTTTAAGAACCTATTTTCTTTAGAAAATATTATTACCTATTTAATCGTTTAAATAATAACAATCATGTTTTTTTATTGGAAATTGTTAATTAGTTATATAATACACATTTATAAAGAAAAAAAATAAAATTATTATCCATAAAAAAATAAATCTGCAGAGGAAAAAACAAGAATTTCATTTTGACTTCAACTTTAACCTTGAATAACATATTGAGTGAATTTTGCCACAAATGTTAAGATGCTTTTTTTCTAAAGCATTTGATTTCCCATCAGAATATTTATCGTTTTTTTCTAGGTACTGATTTTTACACGAATTACAAAATTTCAAAGTTAAAAGATGTAAAACTATACCAATTTTTAAGGAAACGGACGGAAAATTTAATTTTAACCTTTTTTGTAGCATTTAATTTTCTTAAAAACATATTTCTATGTCAATTTTGTTAAACTCAATGGTTTGGGAGTTCTGAGACAAAAACTTGCTGAGGAAAAAAAATTTAAAATTGCGATGATAGACCTCTTAATATTAATAGTATGGACTCAAAATTTCACAATAATTTTTTTTTGTCACCCCAAACCATATTTTTGATATACTTTTCAAAACAAAAAATAGTTGATTTTTTTGGCCCAGTCTAATACATACAGGGTGTTCCGAAATTAGTGCACCATACTTTAACAGCAGATTCCACGTGCAAAAATATGAAAAAAAGTCCCTATAAATATAGGTCGAGAAATGCCTCCTAAGGGAGCTACGCCCCCGAAAAGGGAGCCCCTGAATATGGTTTTTATCTAATATTTATAAAAAAGTAGAAACACCCTGTCACTTACTACATGAAACTGTCACCTGTCTTGAATTATTCTATTTTTTCTTAAACATGGCAGTCATATTCCAAGGACCACGCGAGTCCATTTCTATGGTTGTGATTTAATTGTGAATTTTTATGCCATGTAAAATAATTTTTAAATCGATTTTAAGCGAAAACGGTGTATGTTAACGAAGTTCAACAAGATGACCTTTTTTATGTGCAAAACTCCAAAATTTCATAATCTGACATCAAATTCTGGTACAAAATACGTTTAAAAAAGTTAAGGTGGTTTTAACCCCACTTCCTATCAATCTGACCCAAACCTCATGAAATTTTTTAAATTGTTATTGTTATGTCTTATTGGTCATAAAAAGTTTAATTATTTCCCTAAATTTCACTTTTCTATCTTTAACGGTTTTGGAGATATTAAATAAAAACCATCTTCGGGGGCTTTCCTTTTGGGGGCTGTAGCTCCCTTAAGAGGCATTTCTTGACCTATGTTTATAGGGACTTTTTTTCTTATTTTTGCACGTAGAATCTGCTGTTAAAGTATGGTGCACTAATTTCAGGACACCCTGTATAACAATCTATGGTTGTGTTTAATGAGGAAACTCAAATTTACAGTCCAGCAAATGTAAGGACTCGCTTTTGAGTACAACGTATTTTGTTAATTATACTTAAACATTTTAAAAATCCTAAAAATGGAAAAATACAGCAAATTCTAGAGATGATTTTATCAGTGGCGGCCCATGACATTTTGTCTTGGTGAGGCAAGGGCAAGTTTTCGTGGCGAAACTTTCGTTTTTATTCAAGGGCGGCGAAATTTTGTTAAACCTAACTTTAAAAAACCTGGCATCGCAGGTTGCAACCTAAAATTTTAGCAACAAACTACTGGAGGGAAGAAGGAATCCCCTACTTTGCCAATAAAATATAAAATAAAAATAATTTTTGTCTAATAAATATTTCATTGTTTAGCAAGAACCTTTATTTAAGGTTGTTATTTAATATTATATTCAACATGTGTTAAATTTTGGTTTAAAAAATCTTTAAATTTGGTGAATAATTTACTGTATTTTTGTGCTTTTTTCCTATGCACTTCTGGCATGTTGTTCTATTTAGATTAGATTATTGATTATTCCATTTTAAATTTTGTGCACTTTACCTATTTTTCTATTGTCCTTTTGTTGAAATATTAAAAACAAAATAGTAAGCAATTGCAATTTATGGTGGTTAATAGTATTTTTATACTATAAGTATAATAGATAATGTTTAATTTGATTAGGTCAACCATTTTTGTACTAATAGTTTTGTAATAATCAATAAGACTAATCTTATTTGGTAATTATTTTCAATAAAAAAAGTTGTTGAATTGCAAGGTGGTTAATAATATATCATTTAACAAGTTTTATAAACGGCATTTTAGTCACGAGTTTCAAGAGAAAAATAAATTGCATACTTTACTTCGAACACAAAAATACATTTTTTAAAAGAAGGGCACTTTATTTTGACGATAAAACAGATTTTATGAGAAGTGATAACTAACTTAAAGCTAACTTCAGCCCATTAAGCCTGAGTTCCCAAGTTCATACCGTGACTAAAACTCAAAGTCACAGCTTGTTAATGTGTATTTAAAAGACCACTTTGCTTCATGTAAACATATACTATAATGTGTGTTTTAAACATGGGAGTAAAAAAAACAAGGTTTTATTGAAATAATTACGATTTTTTTAATTACTGTTGTAATCAATATAATTTTTATAAACGAATATTAATTAAAATCTGGTTTCCTTTATAGTTTGTTTTTAGTATTTTATAACATTTATACTAAACTTTAAAACCGCCTATTACACTGTAGGTAAATGTTCAACTTTTAAATTATGACAACAAAACGCTTGGACACGTAAACATAATTTTTGGTTGTATATTAGAATTCCTTGCTCGGTTTAGCTGTATAACGCAATCCGATCCGGGGACGTACTGTATACTGGTATAATATAATTTGTAAAATAATATATTATTTTTTCTTGTACCAACATTCCTATGCTTTTTATTCCATTTAATATAGTATAATGTCCTCAATTATACTCAACTAAAAAAACAGCAAAAGACACTTTGAATTTCCTAAATTATCTAAAAAAACATCAACGATACGTGTTCCTTTTGATCAATTAACCTTAAATTTTTCAAGAATTTTTTGAAACCAATCTGGGGGGCAGCCCAATTGAATTTTGCCCTGATTCAGCTAAACCAAGCACGGATTTGTAATCTACGACCAAAAAATTAAATTTATGTGTCTGAGTGTTTAGCTGTGATACTTCCACCTCCCTACAGTGTTATTAATAATTATAGAGAGAGCTGTAAAAGATATTAATATTAAAATTAAATTGTTGGGATAACTAGTCAAGGTCTAATATTAACATGCGCAGTAGGGTGGAGTGAAATACATGATGGTAACCATTTAATAAGCCTATATTGGCTGAGCAAAATACTTGATGGTAAAAATTTTATATGCCTGTATTGGAGAAAGTGGTGTCCTATTATCACAACTAACGAAAAAAAAATTATATTGATCAGGCAATGTTTGGAGGTTCCGCTACCTTTTTAAAGTTTAAAGATAAAATACGCATTTTATAAAATGTGAATTTTGTAAAGAGGTGGCGGACCCTTTAAACATTGTCCAATCAAAATCATTTTTTTTAGTTAATTGTGATAATAGTTTACAACTTTTCCGAATATAGGCGTATTAAATTTTTACCATCATGTATTTTGCTCAGCTAATAGGCATATTAAATGGTTACAATCATGTATTTCAGTCCTCCCTAATGCGCAGTTGCCTTTTGCGCATTCTCCATATGCGAAATAGTTTCTGGTTCAAAAGTGACCCGCCAACAAACTAATGTTTATAAGATTAATATAATATGTGATGTGGAGTAAGGAAAATCATCCTAGCGAACGAAAAATTATAAATAATTAGTGGTCGGCAGATATCTGCTACCTGCTTTCCGTTTACATGTGCTATTTTCTTGTCCCACATCCCATAAGTTTATAAAAATTGTATTGCAAAATGTAAAATAAAAAATTCGGTTAAGAATATGAAGTAACATGCGCAGGCTGTCCGACAACACCGCTTAGGCAAAGTTCCAATTCGTCGTCGAAAAAACACAAGAAAACGGTGGAGCACGCCATCAACTGTCTCACCTCAGAAATGGTGAGTCCCAAGCGTTAAAAAAATTAACAAACAAAAATGACGGTCCCACTTTAAATCTATGAACGGCCCCAATCACCGTTATATCCATATCATTGCATAGTATGGGCATTTGTACCGATATAATTAATAATAGAGTAGGAGGGTGTAGTTTGTTTATGGAGTAGTTAATTTTTTAACATATATTTTATTGTGTGTATTGTCAAAAACACCCAAAAAGTTTTCTGAAGTCATTATCAAATTATTTGTTCCTTAATATCTCATGCAATTTAAATTTTGACTCGAAAAAATGCATACATTCTCGCCAAATCGGATATCATTTTGCTTTTGCATCTCCGAATTTTTGGATTTTTTTTTATGTTTTAGAACCTACTCATGCGCGGTTACAAATGGGACAATGGGTGCAATTGCCCCCCCCCCCCTTGGGCCCTTGTATCTACTTTTTCTATTAATTACTTAATTAGCCAGCGCGAAAACGTGGATGCATTATGTATTGTACTTTTTTGACAAAAATGTATTAGATTGAAAAAAGTTTTTAAATTTATAAATCCTATTTAATAAACTTTTTTATTGAAATAAAAATAATTATTTATGAAATTTTATTTCTTTAATTATTTTTTTGAATACTTTAATAATTAATTTTGAAGATACTAAAGAAAATTACGTAAACACTCTTGTTTCTAAATTGTCTGTGATTGATTTTTTGGACCATATTTTTATCATGTAGGTACTTGTGCAAGTGGAAGCTTCTGGAAAAAAAAATATTATTCGTTTTACGAACATAATTTATTCTAAATGAACGGTTCGACAAAAAATTTAAAAAAACATAGTTAACCAGTACCTAAAATATAAAAAAAATCGAAGATGCAAAAGCAAAATGTTATCCGATTTGACATGGAATATTGTCCCAATTATCACACAAGAGCGTATCTCATATTTACAAATTTTACAAAGCATTTTAAAGATTAAAAGTTTTTAGCTAGCTAATTTAAATTATTTCTCGGAAAAAATGTGCTTGTAGGTACATTTAATGTAATTAATACCTATTAGCACATTTTTTCCCGAAAATAATTTAAATCAATCTTCAAAATGCTCTGTAAAATTGTTAAATATGACATACGCCCTTATGTGATAATTGGGACGATATGTTTGTTTAAAAAATAACCGCCCCATAATAATAATTAAAAATTGTACAAATGTACAATGTACAAATGCTTTCACTTGCTATTTATCACCAAAGCACCACTGATTACTTTGTGTAAATCAGTTGTTATTACACGATATTACTTTTTATTAAGAAATTCAATAAAATACCAATAACTACGTAGAAAAACTATATTTGATTGTAAAAATAGTTATTTAAAAGGTTGTAGGGTATTTTTTTGTAATGTATTAATAAATCCTGTAGATTTTCACAAAATTTTCCCCGTCTGTGTACACAGTCTTATATATTTATATTTTCATCACCATTTTTATACTTCTTATTTTTCTTAAGCATGCTTATGTACTTTTTTAGTTTTTCTTTTTTTTGCTTTATTTTTTTACTATTTACTAACCAGTGTTCATAGTTAAATTATCGCCAATATTATTATTATTATTTGTTTCAAGTGTTAAAAATTAATCTTTTTTAAGTATACTATATAGTACGGTGAGTATAATTTTAAAATCATAAAAAATATTTTTAATACGTTTTAAATTAAGTTACAATGGTAATTATTTATTTTAAAATCACAAATTCAGCTTTAAAATAGTTCTTTTGATTATTTCTCTAAAACTAGCTTAATTTTTAATAAAATCCGCAAATTGCAAATATTTTATTTTTTTGTTATGTTAAGAAAATAAGTGATATTTACAAAATGTATGACAAAATTTAGTAAAGGAAATTAGTTTTAACAAATTTAAAACGTATTTTAGACTTTAGAATAACATCATTTATATTTTGTTTGTTTTAGCCTAAACGTAGTTATGATGCATGAAAAGCATGTCTTTTTATTTTAGTTTTTATTAAGTAACTGTTGGTTTCAGAGAAATTAAAACAATTTATAGAACTAATTAAATAAATTATAAATAAATAAATTTAATTTTTCTGGAACAATTTTAACTAAAAAATAACTGCTTACTATTTGGCTGCGAAAAAACTTAACATTTCCGAAGCCTTTTCTCTGTGTACACCGACGTAAAACTGACGTAAATTATTTTTTACCAATTCTTGCTTGCTTTTGGGTGGGATCTCCAACAAACAGGAAAAAATGAAGAACCGCGTGGACACTGACTATAAATAAATAGGCAGAAACTTTACAAAAAAAATTGGGTGTAATAGCACACTGATCATCCCACCCCTCCATTAAACAATGATCATCTGTTTATTGCTTATGAGGACGCATTTTAAAAAATTTAAAATTTTGACTTTTATAATGTGTAATGCATTGTAGCAGTTTATAAGACATTTAAGTAATAATAATATTTTGTTCTAGTATTATATTTTATTTAGCTTTTTATTTGTACATAATATGAAATAAATTAAAGTAAAGATTTTTTAAACATATTTTTTATAAACTGCTACATTGTCAAAAAAATGTCGATATAACTTGTGTGTTACTTGGTTTTTGCAGTTTGGCCCTAACTTTAACTGTGTGGCTTGGTTTTTTTACATTTATAGAGATTTTTACTTTTTTAAATGATGGGTATTTTAATGAAAAAAAGTAGAACACCTTTGAATTATTTTTGATTTTAAAAAAATTGTATGGTTTTTATAATTGTATTTTGGATTTTGTATTTTATCGGTTTGAAAGTATTTATTTATATAAAAGGGTTTAAAACAATTTTCTAAGGACCTATTAACAATAAAAAGTTAAAACTTGTTAATAATAACCAGGTTATGATGATTTAAAGTTTTTTCTTTTTGACATAATATCACATATTATTAATATGTTATAAAATATGTCTGTCAACCTTCCCTTTGATTTGTTTTTAAAACAACCTTTGTTTTAGCATATGAAACGCGTTTCGGAGATTTTTTACTACTAATAACTTAATAAGGACCTTTTATACATTAAAACACCCTGTATTTAATCAATCTAAATATACAAAAATATTGTTTTTACAATCTTATAAACAAAATTGATAAAATATAATTTATTAATAGCTTAAAATTCTTAAAGGCTTAAAAGTAAAAAGTCCTAATTTTTTTTTATTTTTTACTTTTTATTTTTAGCACATAGAAAAGCGGCAATACATTTTAAGGTGGAGGGACTGGTAGAGAAAGGCAAAAGCCAAGTAAAAATTCTCAAGTTGTCGAAAATGTTAAAGAATATCTAAATGTTTTCATTACATTCCCCTTGTAAACGGAAATGATTTCCAATATTTGACGTTGTCACAGTTAACATGAGGCAGTAGTTTTGTGTTCAAAAAAATTTAAATTTAGAAACAGTACCCGTGTTACATTTGACAATGGACTTCAATGCTTTGAAATTGCAATACTATCTGTGTCTTGTTTATATAAATGTAATATATTGTATAAAATTTATTGATAACTATATATTGATGAGTTAGTTTTGTTATATTAAATATGTGATTATGATTCCCCAGGCAATAATTGGTTAATTTAAAAAATGGGATTTAGGTTTAGCTTTCTTCACTCTTTATAATAAGGGCATGTCATATCGTTTTATTTAATTTTTTGGGGAATTCGCACTGTCATTAGGGTGATTTTTTTTGAAGGAACATTTATTTTTTTGTCACTCCCCAAGAAAAATATTAATATACAGATGAAAAAAATAATACTTTTCAGCCCTTAATGTAGTATTTTAATTTTGATTTTAATGTTTTCCCATTGAAATAACATAGTAAAAAATGATATTTTTTCAATTTCTAATAGCTTGGCGACATTTTACGTTACTGCAATTTTTACATAATTGGATGCTTTTTTAAAGTACTTGCCACAATTTTACTACAATTAATATTTTTTGACCTGTATACGTCGCCGAAGTAATATTTTTACTAAAAAACAGTATTTTGCATTTCACGGCAAAACAATTTAAGTTACAGGGAAAAAGTTAAGACATTTTTTATAGGAAATTCAAGTTCCTATTAAAAAGGTCCTTTGCAATAATGCAATAAAATGTATAATTTAAACGATTTAATAAATTTTAGTGTCAAATATTAGTAAACTAATTAATAAGTCTTGTTTTGTTTTACGGCAAACCGGTTAAAATTACAGGTAAATAGTAAAAAAACTTTTATATGTAGAAAATGTATTACAAAAAAAGTCATGACAATAAAATGCATAGTATAAAATACAGAGAATGTAATAAATTGTACTGTCAAATATTGATAAATTAAGTCCTATGTTGATTTACGGCAAAACGGTTAAAGTTATAAAACAAAACTTTTATGAAAAATTTAATTTCCTACAAAAAAAATCATGGATTAATGCAATAAAATGCATAGTTTAAAAGATATAAAGCATGTAATAATGTATGTATGTTTTAGGGTTGTTTTACGGCACAACGGTTAAAGGTACATGTAAAAAGTACTTAAATAGGAAATTTAATTTCCTACAAAAATAGTTTTATGCCTTAAAGCAATTAAATGTAAACTTAAGAAGATATACAGCATTTAACAAATCAACTATTGATAAAGTAATAATTACTAATTATTGGTTTTACTGAAATTTGACAAATTAATTTATTAAATGCTCTATATCTTTAAACTATGCATTTTATTGCATTAATGCATAGAATCTTTTTTATAGAAAACTACTTTTTCCATAAAAATCCTATTTACTTTTTAAAAATATGACTTTGGTGTCGTATACAGGTCGATAATAAAGGTTGTATAAAAATTGTTGCAAGGACTTTTCAAGAGCATCTTATTATATACAAATCGTATCTATGTAAATTGTAGTAGCGTAAAATACCACCAAGCTAAAAAATCCTTAACTTCCTGTTACTTACATGGAAAAACTTTAAAATCAAAAAAAGTACTTGGGAGTAAGATTTAGGGCTGAAACTTTAAAAACATTTTTTTCTTAATAAATACATCAATATTTTGCTTGGAGAGCGACATCAAATATATGTTCCTTCAAAACGAATCACCCTAATGTACAAGACATGCCTATATATTTCAAAAGATCATGTTTTAACGTAAAAAAGTTAGTTTATTAATTTTTAAAGCATTCCATATTCTTTTTTAAATAGCTTTATCAATAAACTAATCTGTATAATACTCGTATATTATAGTTTTAATTCTATGGTTTATTTATATATAAAATATATTTAAATTCAGACAAAAGCAATATATGTGGTTATAAGAATCAAAATTAAAAAACCTTTTTATCTAAATATAACTTTTTAAAATATACGCCTTTAATTTTGTATGATTTGACAAAAAATATAAACAATTTTATGTTTAAATAATTATGTATTAATTTATTTTGGTGACTAAAACTTGTATTTTTTTGTTAGAGCTTTTTCAGTACAAAAACATGATCTTTGGAAAATATAAAAAATAAAAACTTGGTTAAATATAATAATAAAAATATATTATTTATTTAATTAGTAAAATACAACAAATGACAATATTCATTTTTTAAATAAATTTAAAGCTTTGTAAAATTGTTGCAGAATGTCTGCTAATATAGCATGTTTTATTAAGGGGGACAATACTGATACATGCTAAAATATAATTTAGGAAATAAGAAAACAGTGGTGTTTCCCATTAAAAAACATGTTATAAAATAAAGAGCAACACTCCAGGTTGGTGTGCCAATAATAAATAAATTTTTTGTGCTTAAAAAATATAATTTGTACAGTAGATTAATTTATTCTCTCTGATTTACATATTGTTTTAACAGTATTAGTGTATAAAATTGACTCCTTTTAATCAGCGGATTTGCAATATTCTTGACTGAAAAATATATTGTTAATGTAAATTAAAATTTTCATGTGTATTATATTGTTATTGTGTACTTAAAAAACAAAATAACATTTGGAGCAATTTCTTCATCTACATTAAATATTTGCCTAAACACAAATCCTTATATAATTTATAATCATCTAGGAAATTAATTACTTATTTTTTATTTGGTGGGTGTTTGACTAATGTTTAATGTTTTATACAGGGTGCTCAAGGGCTACAAATGCATTTTCAATTTTTATGTTCAACTGGATGTTTGGCTGATAAAAAATTCATATAATAGAACTTATTATAAACCAATCAAACATCCTGTAAAATATTTAAATTTACCTATATCATAAGTGTGTGCTCTAAAACACCCTGTATAAATATGGCTCAGGTATTTGTGCATATAATTGTAAATGTTAGTGGCAAAAGCATTAAGTATAGGAAACTTTTGCTTGAAATTTGTTGGCCGAAACGAATTTTTATATAATATTGTTAATAGAATTGTTAGCATACATTTGATTATATTCAATTGTTTTAACCGCTTAGTGAAATATTGCTTCAAAAAATATAGTATTTCAACATTAATTTTGTATGTATTATTTGTAGAGTAGAACCTTTTCAAATCGCTTACTTTTTGGTGAACTTTTTGCACTTGCACAGCAAATTTTGTTTTTATAGACAATTAATTTATAAGAAGATTTCACATATTTTTCCTTTGTTTATGCAATGTATATTTGGTATAGATTTTTTGTGCACGTTTTAAAATTAAAAATTATAAAAATGGCTGAATATATTTACTAAGGTGTCTATATTTTTTACCTTTCTTCTAAAAATATTTTTTATTCACAACCATGGATAATTTTAGTTTAACTTGTAATTTTAAAATTTTATTTAAAAGTTATTTTAAAATTTTATTTAAAAGTAATTTTATAATTTTATTTAAGATTACTACAAAACGTAAAAAATATTAGGGAATATTGGAGTTTTCTGTAAAGGTGTATAAAGTATAGTGAAATAAAAGGTTAGTATTTTCGTTCAAAATTAAAAAGGGGTTTAAAACCTTAAAAATAAAGAATTTTTAAATATATTTTTGGCACCACACTACGTTTGTACATAAGCATGCATAATTTTATTTTTACAATAATTCAAAACTCAACAGCCATGTTGCCATAGGGTAATTTTGCTAAATTAGCCTTTGTTTTCAAGATCTTTTTTTCGAGATTCAAACATTAGAATTTGTACATATATATATATTTAATCAAATAGTTTGACCAAGTTGGTCATGAAGCTGTAAGTAATAATTTAACAAAAAAATACACATTTATAAAGTTATTTCCTTAACAAACCCTATTTGTATCAAAATAAAATCGCTTTTTTGGTAAAAATTCGACACTTCAAAATACCTACCTAAAAAAATGAATTCAAGTTAGATACGTACCAGAAATAAAAAAAAACGCTCGCACACCTCTATTTAGTGTATTAGCATTGACTACTAATACTCAATGGTATTAGTTTATAAAGACGAAGATTCGTTTTCGAGATATTTGAGAAAAACTTTATTTATTTATTTTCATCTTATAAATTTTAACACGCGCGGTTATTTTGAGTGACATTTTGCCAATTTTTATTTGATTGCATTGAGACTTACACAATAAAGTAAATAAAAAAAACTACACAATTTTATTAAAATGGGACAAAAATTGTTTCCTTAACAGCACTTCAAACTAAAAAGGAGATATAATTTTGTCAAAAATAGGTTTGTTTACTTTATGAATGTGTATAATATATTTTTTAGATAAATTAGTACCTACTTGTATTTGACTTAAAAAATATATACAAATTTAAATGTTTGCATATTGAAAAAAACGGGTTTTTTTCAAAATATTTTGCCAATTAAGCAAAATGATGGTCATTTTTGGAATCAGCAAATTACCCCAAAAAAGTTGTTGGCCCCTTTGTGGCAAACAAAAAAGTTTAATTTGTTGAACAGGGTATTTATATTTTTAAACACTTTTCTAGACTCATCTATAAGAAAACTTAGAAGATAAACAACTGCCAAAACTAAAACAAACTCAGGATTGAGATAAGAAGTAGTAGACTAGGAAATAGCTGGTTACCTCGGGTTTGAGAATGGCAAACACAAGAAAACCAATTGTAACCAGCTGAATTTAGGATTTCAAAACATTGGTGATAATTTATTTATTCTATATTAATTGTAAGGGAGTTATTTAGTAGACAATTTTTTATGTTGAAATTAACTTAAGTTGAACTGTTTGTGATTTTTAAAACTCATATAATTTGTGATTAGGAGTTACAATAAAAATACTTAATTTGTTACCCCTTTTATGCATGTTTTAAATGTATCTTAAAATGAGATGCTTATTTAAAATTAAAATTTAACCATGTGAATAATCTACCCTGTTATGTTAAATGCATAATGTGTTCAGATTCATTGCAATAAATTATATGAGGAAATTAGTTATTGTGATATAACTTACCTATAAATTATAATAATGTATCGAGTAATGTATATATAATAAATACATTAAAGCAAATTAGTTTTTTAATAAATAAAAAATAAAAAGTTTAGTACATATATTGAGTAACAAAAATGTAAATTAAATATAATTTTAAACATTTTCAGTGACTTTCACCCTTCTTTCCTGCAACTCTTTTAAAGTCACCCATGTTTGTGGTACAAATTGGAGACCCAATAAATGCTAAATGGTCAATTTGAGTTACTTCTCCTCCAGATTGATTGTCCTTGATAAAAAGCTGTATATTTTGAACATTCTGAAATTTTACATATCTCAAGTTTGTTGGATTATCTTCCAAATCTTGTGGGGTCAATCTAAAAAAAATGGTTTGAATTTTCCTATTATTTAAAAAAAAATACTCACTCCAAGTCTTGTACACTAGTGTAACTGTTAGCCAAATCGAAATCCAAAGTCCTCGGTTGGTTAATAAAAATCCTAATATATTTTGGTCCTTTATCAGCTGGAGCTTTGAATTTCAAACTATGGATTTTTACTGCTTGGTTAAAGGCAACAGAAATTATCAACTAAAATATAAACAGGGTTTGCATGTTTAAAACTGTTTAAAATGTTTTAACCATAAAAAATTACTTAAAGAACATGTTCTTGATATAATTAATACTAAATAAACCTGTACATACCTGTTCATCACAATCAGATTGAAGGTAACCTCCTCCAGAAGTTAAACAATGTTCGAAAGTATGATCGTCACTCTCATTCAAACATTCACATTCAGCCTTGGTGATGAATGGTTGCAAGTCCATGTGTCCAGAAACACCCTCAGCATCTTCAGTATCCTCCGATCCATAGTACTGTGTTATTTTACTCTCTAAAGCTGTAGGATCAGCTCCCTGAAGCCTATCAATTTTCGTCTAAAAGAAATTTGTTCTTTTTTCCTATTTCTATTTTTTAAATTAAAAGTGGTGACCCAGTTATCTTAGTTACCTTATTCCTATAGAAAATGAATGTAGGCATAGCCGATACTCCTTGGGCGGCTGCAGTTTCCTGGCATTGGTCAACATCTACTTTTAAGAACACAGCTCTGGGATACTTGGTGGCCATTTGTTGAAAAACAGGAGCCATTCTTTGGCAGGGCCCACACCTATAAAGTATTCGAAAAAATCAAAACAGGCGAAGCTATGTTGCGTGAACTTCTTACCATGTTGCCGTAAAATCCACCACAACTAGACGACCAGACGCGTTGGATAATTCGGTAGCGAAATGAGTTTCGTCCGTAATTGGTTTTACCGAACCCATTTTTCGATTATTTCGATAATATTTGCAAGTTTTAAGGATGACTGGCATATAACCTATCGGGATGACGGCTACTGTTTTGACAGTTAATATATCGCGACATCTATGCGAGAGTGGCTAAATTAAGTTTTATGTAAACTGGGTTGCATATACTTTTATTATTATTTCTATATTTGGAATGGATGTGCAAAACGATAATCGGTTAACCGGTTCATTGAAAAAATAAAATAACCTGTTAACCTACCTAATCACCGGTTTTAGGTTAACCGGCGCTAAATAACCGCCTGTTATAAAAAAAATAAAAATCAAGTTTTGATAAGATGACCAGCTATCTAAAATGAAAAACCAGGACACAAAATGCCCCTACTCGCCCTTGCCTTCGCCCAAAAAATAAACAAAATTTATTTTGTGTAATATTTATTATTAAAAAAAAAATGTGCTGATAACGTCAATAATTTTTAAATTAATTTTTAACCCGAGCCTTGACGGGAAAAACTAAATAAGTTCTAAAAAATTGGGAAAACTCATAATTAAAAAAAAATAAAACGAGGTTTTTTCTTAATTTTTTACTATTCTAAATGGACTTCCATAGTTTTAGATTTTTTAATTAATTTTTAAACTGGTCCCCGACCCCTTTAAAAAAAATTAACAAATCCTAAAAAAGTGGGAAAAACTCAACTTTTTTTTATATAATTTTTATTAAAAATTAATTTTTAACCTGGGCCCCGACCACTTTAAAAAATTAGAAGAAATAAGTGGAAAAAACTCATAATTAAAAAAATTCAAACGAGTTTTTTTCTTACTTTTTACTATCCTGAAGGTAGGTACCTACTCCTAAAAATTCATATTTGTAATCTATTTTTTAACCTAAGCACCGACAACTTTTAAAAAAAAATTATATAAACATGTGAGAAAAAGTCATAATTTTTTATAATTTTTTCTTTTTAAACAGGGTTTTTTCTTACTTTTAAATAAACTTTTAAAGTTTTACGTTTTTAAATTAATTTTAAACCTGAGCCCCAACCATTTAAAAAAATTGCTAATAATTGGTATAAACCAGGACAAATCTGCAAAACCAGTACACAATTAAAACCAGGACACATTAGCAAAAACCAAAACCTGTCCTGGGTAAAGTAGGACGGTTGGTCACCTTATGTTTTGATCACAGACTACCAAACCACTGGTTATTTTTTTAGTAGGTACTATATGCAGAGTTAGAGAAGTGTAGCCAACTATAGATAGTAGATAATAGATCATTGCAGCGAGCTATAGGGCATCACCAAAACATATGCGAAAGCCTAAATGCGAAATCACAAAATAACCTTTATCGCCGGTTATCACATCTAGTAAATGATTAACCGGTTAAACTGTAGTTTTAAAATAACCTGAAATAAACGGTTAACTGCAAGAAGAATAAGCGATTATTGCATTAACCGGTTACTTTTGCCCATCCCGAGAGAGCCTACAGTAGGCTTCATGCCATTGGCGGGCCAAAATTACTTTTTCTTTAAATTGATTTTGCGCTAATATGAAAACGTTTGTAATGTAAATAAAAAAGACTGAGAAAAAAAATCTGTCGGACAAGTCAAAATTAAACCGGGTTTACGGGCCTCTGCGCTACCAAGAAAGATATCATATGGTATTATACAAAAAAAAATTAACTAGGTATCAAGTATGTATTTAAAGCTGGTCAAGATTTCTTTTCAAAGTTAATAATAATTTTTAATTATTACTATTAATATTTATATTTTAGATTAAGGTCCAAATGGGGTCGATCAAAATTTAACCTAGGTCATCCTATTTTTAACAGACTTAATCTAATAGACCAATTCCGTTTTTTCGGTGCTAGTGTGCGGATCGCTCAATGAAAAGTATGAAATATAGATAATTTTTCGACCTAGTAGGGACAAAATTGGATTCCGGGTATAGAAAAATACCTGGATTTTTGGACAATATCGCAAGCTTTGACCTTTTAGCGAGTTATCTTGTGATTTGTACAAGAGAATTGAACGTTACATTTGTTAGATGTAATGTTACAAAAATCCTTGTGGCAATGTTGCAGGAACATTGCAACAAAGCCTTATGTCCGGCTCAGAAACATTACATTTACAAATAAAATGTTGCTTAAATGTATTAATTGCAATGTTACTAAATGTTATTTTTGTTAATGAAAGGTTCCTGCAACATTACAGGAACATTGCAATTAAATTAATATGAATTATTATTATAATAATTAATTATAATTATTTATCCGTAAGCTATAGGGCTATTATATATAAATAACAGACTGTTTCGACCTGTTTGGTCTCATCAGTGTCAGGCAGTCGGTAACGGGAGACACGCATCAAGCTCGGCAATGTTCACTTATAAAGATATAAATGACCAAGACAGCGGCGAGATGCATCGGCAAGTCAGTCTGCAAACAACATTGCAAAAATTATCTTAATGCAATATTTCGGATGAAACATAGTCCAAAACTAAAGTTATAATTACAAATGTAATATTATAGTTACAATGTTCCAAAAATCTTGCAAATTAAATGTTTATATTGTTTATATAAAGCAACATTTCAAAAATCATCTTAACGTAAAATTTAGGATGAAACATTGCCCAAAACTTATCAATGTAATATTATAATTGCAATGTTTCAAAAATCTTGCAAATTATATGTTTATATTGTTTATATAAAGCAACATTGCAAAAATCATCTTAATGTAATATTTCGGATGAAACATTGCCCAAAACTTATCAATGTAATATTAAAATTGCAATGTTTCAAAAATCTTGCAAATTAAATGTTTATATTGTTTATATAAAGTAACATTGCAAAAATCATATTAATGTATTATTTCGGATGAAACATTGCCCAAAACTTATCAATGTAATATTATAATTGCAATGTTTCAAAAATATTCCAAAACATTCCAAAATAAATGTTTCTATTGTATATTTAAAGTAAAGTTGCAAACATTTTTCATTTGAAACTTGTGTTAATATTTCAATTGAAACATTGAAAAAAAGTTATGTCTGCAATATTATAATTGAAGGGGTTAGAATAGAAAGGGTATAAGTGCAATTTCTTTAATTTAGGAGATAAGTTCGTTTTGTGAAAGATAAGGTTCCGACGTATCGAAATGAAAAGGATTTAAGTAATTTTCATACTTCTAGGGACCTCTATTATCCAGTAGAAAAACGTTACTAAACAAAATTCTTCACTTTTTTATGGTAACATAACTTTAACTTCAAATATCTCCAAAAAATGAAAATGTTACTTATACCCTTTTTATTCTAACCCCTTCAATTGTAATGTTTAAAAACTTTTATGCAACATTTTATACTAAATGTTACAAATACAACATTGTAAAAACTTTCCATGTGAATCATTAAATAATGTTTTAAATTTAAGGTTGTTGGAAATTATTATATGCAATATTTCAAATGTAACATTTCATTTATGTTAATGCAAGTAGCACAGGAAATATTTTATTTCTAAAGTCGGCGAACATTGCAGCAATATTTTGTAAGGTTTCTTTCCCAGTGGGATGTCTATGGGTAGATCTTCGTGAAGTGCATGGACGTTAAAACTTCTTGTTGGCCAAAATAGTACATTGAAACCCAGACCATTAAGGCTTTTGGTCACCAAGAAGAATAAGGAGGGGTAAAATTTCCTTCAAAATATGTGAAAAATGTTAAAAATGTATGTACCAAGTTATGTAAAAAATAAATGTAATTTATTGTTTACAATTATTGACAATATAGACAATATAGATAATATAGACAATATATTGTCTCATTTTTCATTTATCCACTAGTGGGACAATTTGTTATGGTTTAACTAGTGTAACAATAGCTTATAATTATTCAACACCCATTTCATTTCTTAACTTTAATCGGCGGGCGAAATTTTACTTTACCCACGAGCTGAAGTTAGCTTTAAGTTAAAAGCACTCCCTGCGCTCGTGCGGCAAACTCCACGTTCGAGGTATCTCCTCTTTCTCCAACTAGTCGCACAATAAACTCCTGTTTATTTTTTCGAACGCGTAATTAAGTATATATAATTATACGTATATAGTACTATACTTAACTCCAAGTGAGTGTGGGACAAAAGTACTTTTGTGCGAATAGTAGGAGAAAGAGGAGATTCCTCGAGCGTGGAGTTAGCCTCACGAGAGTAGCGAGTGAGGTAACACGCGAGTGTAATATCCTCTTTTGAACAATAGTCGCACACAATTTTTTATTCAACAACCACAATGAAATAAATTAATTTAATCTAATTTTACTGTATATTTTATCTAAAATCTGACAGTTGTTAATTACATAGTTTTATGCCAAAGATATATCTCTGTTGTATTCTCACTTTTTCCAAATTTAACTTAAAGCTAACTTCAGCCCGTGGGCAACCACTCGAAAGCACGATGGACTGGAATTGCAAAAAATTGGTGAAAATTCATTAAAAAAAGCAATTAAAAATATCATTTTGAAATTTTAAAACCATTTTTAGTAATCTTGATCTTAACTTAATTTAAATTATCTGTAGACTTAAAATATATTTATGAAACATGTTTATTTATGTATTATTAATCTTGATTCTGTACAAATTTAAATTTAATTGGATAAGTAGCTATAGCTATAGTATAGTATATATACTGATTTTGATTTAAAAAATCTTAATATTTTCTAAACATATCTTTATAAAATTTTAACAATTGTTTTGTGTAATAATCACCTTGACGTTTTTACAATTTTTATTTAATTAATTCAGTAGCGGCGAAAATATGTATACTGGTTTAACCTACAGGTGTAGCACAAACAAAATAATACGTAATTGACAAAATATAATTGAATCGGTGAGATTAAGAACGGTGTAAGGCCAACAGTTAAAATTTTTGAAATTATTTTATAAAATCGGTTTTATAGTTTGAGAATAATTTAACTTAAATTAAAAATATAATACTTAATCATATTTTATAAAATGATTTATATCTTCTCATAAAAATGCATTTTAAACTTTTATCATTGAGTACTCAATGCTTTTATAATGATTTTAGAAAATAATAAAGTTAAATAATTTTAATTAGGTATAGTTACAACCACAGACCACCGGTGGTCTGTGGTTACAACTAAAGCTGTTTAAACAATTAAAAAATTGTGCTGCACCTGTGGGTTAAACCAGTATATTTTGGCAGCTCCTAAACAATTGAATCGGTGAGATTAAGAACAAGTCCAAAAGTTAAAAGGTTGACAAAAAATTTTAACCGAATTTAAGATTATTTAAGAATATTTATGACCCATTTGTTTGTGACTTACCCCTGTAAAATATTTATTTATTGTAATTGTAATTGTAATTTTGTTTTAAAGTGTAATTCTTGATAAACTGTAGTTTTGTAGTAAAAACACTATGTCAGTTTTCAAGGGTAAATTTTTAATAACTCATATTAGCTATTTAAAAAAAAAATCTATGCACAGCACTGGATTCACTACCCCTCAAAACGACCCTATACTAAACTTTATTGAAAAATTTAAGAAGGAAATATTTGTTGCCACGTTAAAAATGAACAATAATAATTGAATCGGTGAGAATAAGAACAGTACATGTCCAAACATTTGAATTTTGAGAAAACAAAAAAAAAAGGTTTATTTTGTACACAACACAAGCTGTGTTGTATGAGTTTAGACGTCCATTAAACTAAATTTTTTTTTACCACGTGCATGCTTTATTATACACAAAAAATAAACTTGGACTTGTACTGTTCTTAATCTCAATAAAATTCTGACACAGAATTCATATAATAATCTTTAGAATTTTGTTTTAAAATTGAAAAAAGTAACGATTGGTAAAGCATTTTTATAGATAAAGAGCATTTTTTTAAATCATTTTAAACGAAAAGCTTTTTTATTGATCAAAAATAAACATTTTTATTGAACAAAATTATTAAATAATTATTTTTGTATACCGGCATCATCATCGATCCGTATTAGTGTTTGGCCAGGATGTTACATCCCAGATAGCACCATTCGTCCAATGGACGTCCGTTTAAGATCCATTTTAAGTACATTGGTCCACGGACTAAAAATGGATGTACTATGTACGTCCATATATTTACATCCTTTGTACGATTTTAATGGACGTCCATATAGTGTCCATTTTACGTCCATAATTATTATTTCAAAAATGCAAGTTAAACCGTATTGTTGGCTGCATAACAACAGTTATGATCAATCTCACTGACATTCAAGCAAGCGCGTGCTATAAAGGACTTAAGCTATCAATGAAATGTTAAACACTTGTAGTATTGCAAATGTAATGTTCCTTAGTCGAATACAAGGATTTCCTGCAATGTTCAACATTGAATGTTGTAACTTTTAACAACTTTTAGAATATTTATAATATAAATATTCTACAACATGACTGAAATGCCTTTTGTCTGGCTCAGTAAAAATCCCACTAGGAATATAAATTTTATATTCCTAGTGGGATTGTTACTGAGCCAGACAAAAGGCATTTCAGTCATGTTGTAGAAAATTTTCTGCAACATCGCAATGAAAATACAGTCGCAAAAAACAGTTAAAGTAAGCAAAAAAACAGGTCCTGGATGCTGGAGGAATGGTTTAAACACCTTATAGACGTCCATCGGTGGACGACTTATGGATGTCCAAAGTTGTGACATCTGGACTCTAAACGGATGTCCATGGGACGTCCATAGAAAAAAAATGGACTTCCTATGTACATACAGACGTCCACGAGCATACGTCCATTGGACGTCCATAGTATACCTTTGTGCTATCTGGGATGGCCATGGTAAAACTCTAGATCTTCTCCCTTGATGTACTTTATAATATTTTTTATAGGTATCATTTATTTTCTTTTTATAACATGGTGGTCCAGTTCTTTTTTCTTCGACAATTTTTCCAGATGTAGACATATAGAACGCTGATGTGCAAACTTTCTATTATTAATTTTTCATCGGTCTGGATTTTTCCTACGGCTTGTGTCATTTTCGTTATAGATGATAAAATTGTTGTATTTTACACTAAAGCAGCATAAAATACAAACTGACAGCTTTCATGAGCATGACCACCTTAAACTTTTAGTATACTATAGGTATATAATGTTCATTATCAACAACAACATTTATTGGGAATAAGAACAGTACAAGTCCAGGACTTGTACTGTTCTTATTCCCAATAAATGTTGTTGTTGATAATTTCTAGAATTTCTAAATGCTTCACAGTTAGCTCTGACAAACACCTTAACATGCGAATTTTAAAAATGTTCTTCTACTTCTTCGATGCTGCTTCGAATTTAAAACAAAATGGCTATTTCAGATAAAAATGTCAAATTTTGTACTTGTTCTCACCGATTCAATTATTTGAGGAGGTCCTTTTTAATAAAAATGAGTTAGTGGTGTCTGTACATTTAAAATGTAGCCCCCTATACCCATAATATTCTAATACTCACCTTATTCTAATACTAACCTTATTCCATTTAAAATTCATTTACAAATTGACTATCGTTCCAAAACGCCTTATCTATGGGTTAGGTATATCATGTCAGAACTGGCATACCTACGTATATAATTTTAAATTATTTCAAATTGGAGCTATACCTTTTTAATCAAGGTATATAAATTTTATACTTATGCCTTTTTATTTCGTTTAAAGTATTGTGTAGGCCTGATATGCGTTAGTTTTGGAATGCATTCTGTCAAGTTATCCATGAAAAAAATATTGAAATAAAATTAAACCAATAGTAACTACAAAAAAAAGTTACAAAAGTGCTCTTTTAGTTCCACCCTTACTTCTTAAGAAGTCCCATAAGCCAACTGTATGGCTTGTGCGGGTTAGGGGTAGGAACGGACCGCGGGCTTAAAGTCCCCTCCGAAGGACTGTTACACAATAGGACAATAGGGTATAAATATTCTAATGCTTAGTTTTGACAATTTAAAAACGCAATAGAAACTTAAAAGAACAATGAAACAAAAAATATATAATTCAAAAAATGCTTTACAATTAGATTTTCGTCACCTATATTGCACAAGAACTACAAGCTAGGGTAATGCAAGCCTGCGCAGCCATTACTACAGAACAAATATGAAATTTATTGTTGAGAATTTTTGGAATTCTTTATTTTTTGTTTCATTGTTGTTTTAAGTTTCTATTGCGTTTTTTAATTGTTAAAACTAAGCATACGAAAATTTATACTATGTAACATAGTCTATGTTACTATTAGTTTAATTTTATTTCAATGTTTTTTTCATGGATAACTTAACAGAATAAATTTGTGCATTTTTAATTTAGCCACAAAATCGTTCCTACTTAAATTTTTAAATAAATTGTTAGTATAGGGTCGTGAAGGGGTGGTGGATTGTTTTTTTTAAATTGCTTATATTAATGAAAAATTTACTATCAAAAACTGACAAAGTAGGCTTTGTATTTTGTAAAAATATGACGGTTTTTTTTTCAAAAATAGAGTTTATCAATATCTACACTTTAAAACAAATCCGGTTAAAATCGCACAATAAATACAGATTTTACAGGGGTAAGTCGGAAACAAATGGGTTACACTGTATACATGTTTTTTTTTAATATTTATTTATTTATTTATGTATCTTTAATATAAATTATCAGGACTTTTCAATAAATGACAATAAAAAAACAAGAGGTTTTGGATAGTAGGTATCTAATTTATTGGTTATAATGGGAGGTACTGCAGTTTTTTCTTGAACATTTTAATTTTACTATTTATTATTATTTTTACAAGCACAAGTACCTACCTGAATTGTGTGTAAATAAAAAACTTCTTAAAGCCAGAATATATTTTTTTATTATACAAGCCTAAATTTTTAACGTCAAAACATTAAGTATTTATTTTTAAATTACATTTCCTAAAATAGTTATTGTCTTTACACAACAGTTGTGATGAATGCTAAAATCAACAGTAAAAATTAATAAATCAATGACCTATTCTAGGTATATTCTTTGTACAATTGTTTTCTAGTTTATACAAATTTTAAAAGAATCTTTACATTATGGAACTAAAGAAAAGTATTGACCATAAGTAGGAAGAAGTTGATAAAGTACAAAATTTAATATATTTACAGGAAAGCATTATTTTTAAAAATTTCAACAATGATATGCTTATTCTAGATCTATTGAATAGTTCTAAAACAATACTAACAAATTAAGAATCTATAGAAACATTAAAAATGTATGTACATCATTTGGAAGACTTTTGACTTTGTTATATAATTATTTTTCTTAACCTTACATTTATTAATACAAAATATTTAGAATCTTTGCAGGTACGGCTATTTTACGAAAGCTCGTGCACGCCATCGCTTTCGCATACTTTCATCCAAACAGATAAAAATCAATTATTAATAGGAACATTAGTGTGGATTTTTTAAACTGGCACTCCTAAGCAAAGCAGCTAAACAATAAGAAAACAAAATCAAGACGCCACTAACATCGGCAGTAGATCGCAGTTGCATGCGGCACCACCTTCACCATTCGTACACATTACTTGACACCACTTGTTCCAGTTGATTCCGATTGTTTTGACTGGTCCCGAAGCCAATAACATCTTCGTGCTGTTCTGATGGCTGGCATCGCGATACAAATCGCATCTCTGGCATCCGGGAATCTGGTAGTCGTACTGCAAGCAAAAGTGTCCGCAAACCTCGAAGAAGTCCACCTCTTTGTCGACGACGGTCTTGGCGCCGCACTCGCAGAGCGGCTCGCCCAAGTTGTTCCTGCACAGGACGGGACAGGCGTCGCCGCGCGACCTAGCAAGCGTCGGGATGCCGTTGCTCTCCTTCAGGATGTTGTTGCCGGACTGCAGGGGCATCGTTTGGGGCGTCAGGTCCACGCAGTCGGCGCCGCATGGCGCCCCGCCCAGCCCCGACATGCACAAATCGACGCATATCCGACGCCGCTCGGTGCGCGTCGTTATTGGTCGCAGGACGGCGCCGTCGTCCTGGTAACGGTTCGGTTTGGCGGCGGCCACTCCCACTCCCAGCGTCGCGAGCAGGAGAAGAGGAAATATCGACATCCTGCAAAGTTATGTAACTACATTGTTTGCTGTCGGTTTGCTGAAAAACAATTACACTAATGTCGTGTTTAGTGTAATTAATTTTTATTGTGACATATTTCAATTCAGAGTACCTACCTACCTTCAATGTTTGTTCTTAGTAAAGCCTTATGTCTTGGCAGAACAGGTATTAAAGGGGATTACTAATATGTCTAAAACATGTACATTAAATTTAATAAAAGATTAAATTAGTTCTTCCTCGATTTAGTTTAAGTCCTAATTTAATTCGACGCATTTGCGTTTCGTACTGTGTTTATGGCAACAGTGCGATATGCAAATATAATTTAAAATTCTAATTTTTCTTAAAATTTTGACAAATAGAAAAAATATACAAAAATCTCATGTTATAAGACATTTTCAGGAATCTCATCCGGATATTTTTGCAATAATAATAATCATCCTTTAGTTTATTATTCGTTATCCAGTGGCGTAGCGACAGTACCGCGAACGCCCGCCAAGCGGGGGGCCCTAACCTCGTAGGGGGCTCGGCCGATACTTGCCCCAAAACATTAAAATACTTATTTTCATATTACTTATACTAAAAATTGAATAATAATGAATGATTAATTAAAAATATCATAATTTTCGCGGGGGGGCCCGAAATTTGTCGCTACGCCACTGTCGTTATCATACGATTATTGAATGTTGAATTGTAACGGTTATTATAGTTATAATAGGTGTAATCGTATAGCAATAATCTTTTTATCCTTACTAAAGAAAAAACAAAATATATCGTCGAATTTGCCATTTTTGTAAACCATTAAAATAGAGTTAAAAGATCAAACAATTTTTAGAATTAAATTAATTAAATAAAATAAAACTGCCATTTTACAAAAATGGCGAATGCGCGCCGGGATTTATTTTAATATCTTACTCTTACATCGTTTTAAGTAAGAAAAAAATTTAATTAAGAAGTGATAAAAATAATTGAATGTCACTCATTGTAGAGCGGTGCTGCAGTATTTTTAAGTAGATAAAGAACATTTTACGACTTTTAACCCTCGTTTTACATAAAAAAGCATTTTAATTATAATAAATCTTACCTAGAGCATATAAAAACTTTAAATTTAACTATGAGTCCATGACAACCTTTTAATTTTACTGAAATATTTGAATTATATAATTATTAATATATATATATATATATATATATATATATATATATATATATATATATATATATATATATATATATATATATATATATATATATATATATATATATATATATATATATATATATAATATTAATATAGTACCTATATTGGATTTTAATCGAATTTAATAGTCAAAAGAACTCGGAAAAATAAGAAGAAAAGTTACTTGTATGCTTTAAAGCAGCGGTTCTTAACCCTTTTGGCTGGCGACCCACAATTCAAAAATATTAGAAGCTCGCGACCCTATAAAAAATAAAATCATCAATTTTTTACATTTCCTTTATTTAAAGTGATTACGACGCGCTTTTTCAAAAAATCCCGCAAGTCCCGCGACCCATCTCGATATGGCCCGCGACCCAAATTTGGGTCGCGACCCGAGGTTAAGAAACGATGCTTTAAAGCTTTGTTTTCGAGATACAATGGGTTAAAGCCACTATTTTTGTATGAGTTTGATATTATAGTTTAAGTAAATAAAAAAACAACTTTTTTGTCTCTTTCGTTTTTTTTTCTTGCTTAATTTCCAAGAAAATAAATTAAATTCGTTTATCACCATAATTTTTCCAGGGGCGAGCGAATAAACGAAATTTTTTTTTTTGAAAATTAAACAAGATAGATAAAAATTGTTTATTTAGAAAATACTATTAAACGAATATAAAAGAGGTAGAATACCCAAATTGTAAATATATAGTTGGGATGCTTCAGCGCCGCCTCTGGATTAAGTAAATCCAATTGAATTACAAAAAATTAAGCCCTTTACCCATTAATAAAAACCTAAAAAGTTTTTTTCAATTCGACCAATGAGTTTTTGAAATTTAAAAAAATATCTTTTTAACTTTAACTGAACCACCCTGTATCTCAAAAACGAAGCTTTAAAACAAGTTTATATACCTATATATAAAAATGTAATTTAAATCTAAGAAACTCTGTATAAAGGTGAGTTTTTTAAGTGTTACAAAAGCAGTTTAATAATAATAATAAAATATTTATTGTTTAAGGATCAACATATTTATATTAAATATTAGCAATAAAACAATTAAAATATCTTAAAATTAATGTGGTTTAAAAATACTTGAACAATGTAGTAAAACATAATTACTAGAGATAAAATAGTATTTTACGTATCAAGTATTATAAACGCCATTTTAGTTACGAGTTTTATTAGGCACAATCGAAGCTTGCGAGCGAGTGTTTAATAAAAACGAGTGTCTAAAGTAGTTTATGAAACGAGTTGCATAAAACATATTTACACTCTAACCATATGGTTAGAGTGTTACTAAATATAATACAATTAGATCAAATTACATTGAAAGAACTCTATCATTTTATAAAATATTTTTTGGATTAAAAGTTTTTAATTTTTTTCAGTTCTAATGGTAGTTTATTACATATTTTTATGCATAGGTATTTCGGAGATCTGCTCTCTAAAAATGAATTAGTCAAAAATGACTAATTTAATAGTTATTACTGGCTGCTTTTTCACTTGTACCATGGTTAACCATTGAATACCATGGTACCATTCTTATGTAATATGGAATTGACTATATCTCAAAAACTGCTCCACTTTCATAATTTTTTACAGTATTTTCGTATTCAGGGGACAATTTTACATTTTACAAGAATTTTCTGTTAAATTTTGGGATACCATGGTATTCCATGGTTCCATAGTTTCATGGTACAAGTGAAAAAGCAGCCACTAATAACTATTAAATAAGTAATTTTTGACTAATTCATTTTTAGAGAGTATGTGAAGGTATTCTATAACTTTCTCCGTACCTCGTATTATATTTATGATTAAAGTTATTTTTTTTCAAAAGTTGTTTTGTTGTTAAAAAAGCACTTCTATAGATTAATTTTGACGTAAGTTTAAGTATATTATTTTTTTTTAAAGCAATTTTACAAGTCTCACGGGGTTTCAGACCAAGTTGAACGTGACTTTCCCAATTGAGTATGTAATCAATGTTCAAAAAAATGGTGAGGAAAACTTGGTCTTGGAATTTTAAGAGGAATTTACCCATACCCTTTGAACAGCCAACTTTGGGACACCCTGTATAGAGCGACCCAATTAATTATTTAATAACCATTAACTTTTTTGTAAATGGCGAATGCACCGGGATTAAAAAATAGAAACTTCCTATCTAAGTAGTAAAATATCCTGAATGAAACCAAATTCAAAGAAATAACACAATTTACTTTTTCTTCAACAAAAATAAATATGATAGAATAAATGTTTACATTTTTAATAAGTAAAACTTAAACATTTTAACATTTTTGTGTCTTACAGGGACCCTAGTAAAACTATAATATTTAAGACATAAATTTTAATTTTTAACTTTTAATTTTTTAAAATTTTTAAATCATTTTTCGCAAAATCTTATCTACCCAATAGGAACGCTCGTAAACTTTTTTAATTAAAACTTAACCCCGCATACATAAATTAAATCAGCTAATCTACAGGTAGATAGCGCGCTGCCTGACTTAACTTTAATCCAATTTCGACCCTTCAATATTTAGGCTGTACAACTAAAACAGACAATCCGCGATGCATCTTATTGTTGTTTTGTCTATAGTTGGCTTTGGCTTTGGCGGGACCTAACCATCCATAAAATGGCAACGGCTCTGCCGGTGACATCTGACGTTCGATTGTTATGACGCACAGTGATTCAGAAATTAGAAAGAAAACCCAACCTAAAGTGACAATATCGTTTGTTTCCTCGTCAATTTATTTAAACAATTTAATTTAAAATTTCAATAGCAGCAAGTTTATAATACCCTAAAATGCAAATATTTTATCCAATCTAATTAAAACATTGCTCAGAAGCTTCTTAACGACTCGTTATGACCATAGAAAAAAATCCAGTATTGTTAATTTATTTTAATTATTGAACTCAAATTTATATTGCAGCGAATTAACTAAACATAATTAAATATTTACCACAATGCAAATATTTTATTAAATTATAAAAAACAAATCTTAAAAACATCTTTTAATTCTGACGACTGGTCATTTTTTTCGTTATTTGTATCGTCATTGTTGGTACACTGTTTTAAAAATCAGATTTATTAACATGAGTTTTAATGTTTAACAAATTATTTCGTTGAAAAAGTACACGTGATTTCAGGCATTCAATCAAAAAACTACCCACTGACAATACGCATCAACAAGTTCAACTGACTTCATCGTCGGCAACTTATGTTTCTGCTTACAACTGCCCAGAGTGTTTATAATATATTAGCAGAAATCTGTTATTATTGTTATTTGGATTCCTTATTTTCGAAAAAGATGCCATCACTGGTTTTCAAACTGAAATTAGGGGATACATGAAATTGGGTTAAAGTTACGAAATACATTAGTAAGTAGTACTGATAATTATATGGTACCAAATTTCTTTATAATTTGATGATTTCAGAATTGTGTGTATGTTATTTTTGTGTTTATTTATGTAGGTATGTGTTAGTTTTTTTGTTTAGGAAATGTATTAATAAAGCAACATTTTTTATCAAAATTATTTTCAAGTTCCCAATTAACAAAAAATACCTTTGTTACTGAGTCTGGAATTATGATTGAATCATTGACATAGGATTTAGTTTTTAAATCTACAAAATATTTGTTATAATTAAAAACCACTTATTCAATTAGTTAACAGATGGCAGTTGGTTGTAAACTTAACATAAAGTTATGTGGACCTGGATTAACATAAAATCTGGTTAATATTTGGTTAAAATTGAACAGTTAATTTTTTTATCTGGACTCGTGTTTTTTTGTTTGGTTGGTGGCTTAGTATTTTTAGTATTTAAAAATGGTACTTCTGCTAAAGAATTTAATTAAATACTTTGACACTGTCAAATTGACAATAATATTTATTATTGATAATTTACTTGTCAATTATAAATAAAAAGATAATTATGCCAAAAATAATAAAAACGAATTCGAATGTAAAAGCCCTTTTGAGGGCAAAACTTTATTTTGATGAAATTATGCCAAATGCCACAATGGAAGAAAAGGTATATCGCCTTATGGACATTTTTGGAGTAAAATAAAAAAGTAACGAATTTGGTTTTATAAATATTACATCACACATTATTTTCACAACATTTACGTTCACAAAAAAATTTAATTTCTTTTATATAAATTCTTTTCAAAGCGAAGATTATTATCCGCTAGGAATACTTTCTCTTCTGGGCCGTAAAGCAACCTATATTTAACTACTTTTTTATATGATTTTACTCATCCAAGCACCACCAAAGCCAAATTAATTGCATTTTTAACTACGAATTTCGACAACTCAACTTGACAACTGCACAATGTAAACTACAATAATTTATTCATAACCACAATTAGATTTATAACTAGCTTAGTTTGTTTTAATCAATGCGACTAACTTGACAACTGTATTTACCAACCAAAACCCTAAATTTGCAACGTTGCTGCAGTCCAGATAAAAAAAATTAACTTTATGAAAATTTTAAGGTTTATTATCGTAGTTTCATCTTTTGTGTACCAACTTAACACCTTCAGTAAAATTTGAATTGGGCTATAAATGTTTTCTCCATCCAACATATTCTTAAGACTCCAGCGAATAATATCTGTTGGATAAAGAGTTAAATTTGAAAACTAAAAATGTACAAGAAAATTTAGAATAAGTTTATCTTCTTATTAGAATAAAAAAATTGGAAAAAATTAAAAATTCACTAATGGAGATTTGAATCACTGTGAGACGTAGGCGGTGCGGGGCAGCGCTAGCACAACTACCGAGTTGGCCCTGTGCCTGACTGCGATTTATGACATTTTTGGAGGGGTGGCATGATATATTTGGCCGGATGATGACACTTATTAAATCGTTTGCTCTACTAATGCCGAAAGCTCTCCTCCACTTACTGTAACAGTTCAAATAATTCAACCGTCATTACTGTCGCCCAGCGCGTTTAATTCCAATTTTTATTTCGCGAGGTTATTTAGTGTTGTTTTGTGTTTTATTAATGATATAAATTTGATAAATTATTTTTTTAATGCGAAGTCAAAATTATGTTTGTCGAGATAAAACCGCCGTTTTATGTTTAGTAAATTTTTTTGCCATAACAACATACACTGCTCTCAGAATTTAACGCACTACAAATAAAGTAATTATTGTATAAGGCAACTTTTAAATGTATTTGAACTTGAACAAAATTGCACTGAAGTACATACTAGATGATCGAATTTTAAATTTAAAATCAAATTTTAATAATAAAATATGCTGTTAATGATTTTATGAGAAGTAACAAGGTTTGTTGAACTGTCAACAAAATTGGTATATTTTGTTTTTTTTTCAGGAAGACAGCGTACGTTTTGAAAAGACAAAGATGGATAGATTTTTCTGCAATATCTACCAACACTCTCTATCTCTCTCGTTCATACTTATACAATCGTAAAAGATTTTTTTAAATTGTTTTTTTCTATTTTTATTAAAAATGTAATTCATTTTTGTGATTTTTGGTGTATAGTCTAACAATATAAATTGACGTTTCTGGTAGTAGTGATAGTGACCGGCTATAAATATTAAATATGTTTTTGTCAATAAATTTATGTCAACCAGTGTATTTTTGTTATGTTAATGAATGTATTTAGAAGATTTTATCTTTCTTGAAATTTTTATTGATGATTTAAAAAAATATTTTCAATTTTTAGTCATCCATGGGTAACGGTAAAATCAACTTACAAATTTAGATTGATTGATCTTATTTTAGCATAAACTTCTTTGGCGGTAATGGAAATATGTCAATATTTGAATTTATAATTGCCATGGCAACAAGATCACTTGAAAATTGATTGATTGCCAGATTTATTATAGTAACAGTTAATAGGTGTATGCAGACAATTCAAAATATTTTTTTCGGGCAAAACTGGTCATCCCATAATTATTATAATTATAATTATTATTATTATAATAAGAATTATAATTAGAGATTAAAAAGCTTCCAAAAACCTTTTCCTAAATACATTCGTTTACCTAAAATCAACCAAAATCAACTGGGTTGTCGTAACTTTTATGACAGAAAAAATCAGAAGAAATTTTTACATGTGATCACATGTGTCACATTTGTATCCCTTCTGCTTATTTATAACCTCTCACTATATAATACTACTGGAAAACGTAGTTTTTTGAATTTGCTTTTTATCAAAATTTACTATACAGTGTGGTTCTCACTAATGGAATAAAGTTCTTTATTCGATGCATTTTTCATAAAAATCTTTTCTTATGAGGAAAGATTTTTATGAAAAACCGCTCGGACACGTTTAGTTTTTTTATTTTAAATCTTATAATTATAATTTAAAATGTTTTACCCCCACCATTTCCCCCACCACATGCACATTTATGAACCATTTTATGCAACCATTTCATGCACATTTATTACAACCCCACTTTTTTCATCGAAAATTGATAATGCACATTTTATGAGTATGACGATTATCGTCAGACGATAAGTAGGGTTTAGTTAACCTACTTTTTAATATTGGGTGAAATTTATTAACAGGTGGAAAAACTGAACATTTTATTTTAAAATTAATTAAAAATACAAAAATAAACTGTTCTTAAATCTTATAAATGTTTAAAATGTTCACTTATCGCACTTAAAACCTTCAATGTTATGTTCCTAATTTTCTGCTTTTTTGTTTCTTAATTCATCTAAATTAGCAGGTTGTGTTTTAAACACCCTGTTTTTATATGTTCCGATGGGAAAAGTCTAGCCATTTTATGAAACATCTTCTTCTGATCCACCTGTGTGGAAATTGGTCATTTAAATAATTCCGAACAGAAAGAGCATAGTGGGGTAGTGCATCGTCTTGTTAAAGCCATGTTCTTTTATTGGGAGGATTAGGTTCCAATTGATTTGGGACAACTTGTTCTCTTACAATTTCCAGATATCTTGCCCCGTTAAGTTTTTCAATGAATATAGGTCTCACCACATGATCACCAACAATACCTGCCCAAACGTTGGGTATGACTTTGTTGCATCCAGTGGGGGTTTTCTTGTGCCCAGTATCTGCAATTCTGACTATTTACCTCTCCATTTAAAAGAATATTTGCAGAAGAAATAGCATTTGCTCGCAAATTGCAATCTTCTATCAGGATCACTGTTAATCAATTCTTGTATGTGTTGTAGTTTATATGGATGCATTTTTTCGGCTTTTACACATCTGAAAAACAGTCGAATGACTAACGTGGTTTACACGTGCAACCTGACGCGTAGAAGTTGTTGGATCTTCTTGAAAAGCTATTAAAATATTGACTTTCACATTTTCATCAGTAAAATGAGGCGTCCTGCGTAATGGTTTAACGTGTCCATATTCACGAAATTGTGCATGTATTTTAGACACAGTTGCCTGGGAAAGTGGTGGTAAATCTGGGTGTTTTTCATTAAAAAAGGTTTTCTCTTGTGATCTGCACATATCTTCGTAACCAATTATTATTAATATTTCTGTCGCATTTTTTTACTAAAATATTAAGTGTTACAGAACTAAGAACAAATTATTGCAATTTTATTAAGAGTACTTGTGTACTCTAACAGTAAAGCGTGAACTAATAATAAAAATTGAAACAATACAAATGTAAACAATGCAAATGGGACGACCCCAAAAACGGCATAGAAAAAAGTACACAGGTGCTATGTTACATGTTGATTAAACACTAACTAAGCGAAAAAACATGAATAGATAAATAGCGAAAGTAACAAAACAAAAAACTAAAGCATAGGATAACAATAAAAATGCATACTTGTAATTTGTAAATAATCACCATGTATTGAAAACTATGTTTACTAAACCCTACACTGTTTAAAATATCTGTGGTGTAAAGAGTAATCTTAAAATGGTGTCAAAATCCAACACCAAGTGTGTGCAAAATCTTTTAAAGAGCCCGATGTCACTTGAAGATAAACTTTTAATTAAGAAAAAAAGGAAGGCATATTCCCGATCTTCGAATACACTACACTTCCACAGGTAAAGGCCGAACTTACAATAGAGTATTCAACAGAAATATTTATGAAAAATACGAGTGGATATGCGGATGTTCAGTAACCAATAAGCTTTTTTGTTTTATGTGCTTAATTTTCAAAAAAAAAATTACGTGCGTGGAATAAACATGGGTTAGATGATTTAAAACACATCACAGAGAGGGCTAAGTCACATGAAAATTCAGTTTCTCGCATGAAAAATAGGAGAATGTACTTTATGTACAAAAATTAGTAGGTAAGTTTTTTGTGCCCACCCTCTTCCAGAACCTACGAGCCTCCACTGCTAAGTTCTAACAATTTTAGACGAAAAAAAGTTAGGTTGTTATTTAAGAGAAAAATGCATAATGTGGTGGGGGCAAAAAATTCAAATTTTAATTATAATATTTGAAATACAAAACTAAAGTTTACGTATCCGAGGGTTTTTCATAAAAATATTTTTTCATCGAAAATCGATTTTTATTCCATAAGTGAGAACCACACTGTTTATAGTAAATCAAGAAAACAAAATCATAATATAGTTTTGTATTTTATGGTTTTTCTACTTCCACACTTTGACATTTCCTACCTATACTGAGATCGATTATGGTATAGATTTTTATCCAATATAAATGCAATACAATACATATACTCGTGTCTTAATAGCTTAATAGCAATAGATGGTCGTTGCATAAAATACTACATAAAATACTATTTTGATGTTTGCATGTTACTCAAAGAAATATTAGTACTACAAAAACTATTTAATATTATTTAATATTATTTTTATTAATAATATTATTGTACCCAACAATCCATTTTTTTCTTACCTATAGGTATAAACTCTTTTTTTAATTTGTTTAACAACAACACTACCAAAATCAAACTTAACTTAACACTACAAGTATTATTAAGTAGGAAAGCAATTATATACTACGGTGTAATATTAATTAATTGATTAATAGATAAACATTATCTCGTTTAGATCCTATGGTATATAATAGTATTTTCGCAGAATGTTTTTAACACTTAATTAACAACAACAATTAATTTGTTATTTTAATTGAAATCAAGTACTAAACAAATTTTGATCCATTAGTATTTTTTATTTTAAGTGCTGCTACACAAATACAAGATAAAAATAACATAGTAAAAACTCTTTTGTTTAAAACGTAAAATTTAATATATTGTGTTATCTTCGAAGGCATGCCTTACACAAAGTATACCCACATTAATTAAAGCCTAGGCATACAAGAAATATGCTTAGATTTCACATAATCCTGAGATAAAATTCCCTGAAAGCTTCACAGTAAAAACTTTTATCCAGACACGGCATTTTCCAAAGTTATAAAATATAATGTAGCGTTAAAGTTTGCTACACGGCATGGTGTGCATTCAGCTTCGCTTCTTTGTGTGCAAAAAAACACATTAGAAGTTTTCAGGACAAAAAATTAACGCAATAAACTCTAACGTTCCTGAAGGCATACATAGTTATGAGAGCGGATGGATACAGGGTTGTTTTATTCCAAGAATTAAACAGGTGTTTTTTAACTAATGGTACAAATTTAAGGGGGTAGTACGACACGAAAAAAAGGGGAAAAATTTAAGAAAATTATCGAATCAAAACAAGAAACCTGTAAATTTATTAATATAACGTGATATATGAATAAAAATTATATAAATATATTTTTGCAGTATATAAAAAACTAAATTAATTGTTTCGGGGATTTCCCGAAATGCGGAGATAATTCGATAGTGTCAGTGTCATGAAAAGCATTTTTTGAAGAACACTTTTGCAGAAAAGTAATATATTTTGAGGATGTAATAGATATGTTTGCTGAAAGAAAAGCAAAGTTTTAATTCTGGTTAGGCGTTTTTGTTCTACGTAGGTATCCACTATATACGATGTGTGTATAGAAAAAAACGGGAATTGTTAATTTTCGCGGGTTCGGAGGGTCCGGTTGTTATAAAATTTTCTTTATTATGTTGGTATACATGCCCCCGAAGTATGATAAAAACTTTAGCTGTTTTCATTGTTTACTTTGTCTGTGACAGCCGCTAAGGTTAGACGTGTTTTATGAGCTCGGCGATTTTTCGTTCGTTAAAGGAAATGGATCAAAGAATTTGTATCCAATTTTGCTTAAAAAATTAAATAAATTCTTTGAAATGTTAACAAAGGCCCATAGTGAGTCTGCTATAAGTAAAACAAGAGTTTACAAGTGGTATAAGAGTTTCCAAGATGGCCGTGAAGACGTTGAAAATGACGAACGCCCCGAACGCACAAGCACATTAACAACCGATAAAAACATGGAAAAAGTGGAAAAAATGGTTATAAACCATCAGAGAAGTCGCTGATGATGTTGGTATATCAATTGGCTCATCACATGAAATTTTTTCGAATGTTTTGAGTATGAAACGCGTGGCAGCAAAATTTGTTCTAAAATTGTTAAATTTTGAACAAAATTTTTGGCCAAAAACAACACTGTAATGATGCCCCAGCCTCCATATTCGCCAGACATGCCTCTGTCTGACTTTTTCCTATTCCCAAAAATAAAGAGAACCTTAAAGGGCCGTCGTTTTGCAAGCATAGATGACATTAAAAGCGCATCGCTGAAAGAACTAAAGGCTATCCCAAAGATCGAGTTTTAGAAGTGTTTCGAGTATTGGAAAAAGAGCTGGCACATGTGCATAATATCCTATGGGGACTATTTTGAAGGCTACAACATTAATGTAGACGAATAAATAAATGTTTGTTTCAAAAAACGAAAATTCCCGATATTTTCTGAACACACCTCGTACCTACTAAAACTAATTTTCTAAATAAAATAGGTAAATTGTTTTACTTCAATTTTTAATTTTTTTTCCATTTTACTCTAAAAGAAATAGTGGCGGAAACTTTCACCTTTGCCCCTTTTAGAAATTTTGTAGATCCGTGCCTGTCTATAACTATAAAATTACAAAGTGTCGTTAAAATAAAACACATATTTTTAAATTAAATATCTAATATATTTTATGTATTAATTATAATTAATTAAAATAATTATTTTAATGTATAGTATTAAATTTTTTTAAAGAACGTAAATATTTTACATGCATCTGGCAACATTGCTCTAAATTTGAAAGTTATTGTCAAAAATTGCGTTAAAAGTTAAAAAACTAATTTTCACAAATAATGAAAACCATTAATTTTTAACGTAAACTACATCTATAGATAAAAACAAAGAATTTTTTTTAGTTTAACGAATTTATTTTAATTTAATTTGACAAGTAGCTTCTTTGAAATGAATAACAAACGTATACAGGGTGTTTCATAATATATGCGCAGGACTTCAGGATGTGATAGCTCATCCAAAAAGATGAAAAAAGTCGCTATTAAGTTACGCTCTAAAATGCACAATTTTCGAGATACAGGGTGTTGAAATTTTAGAAAAAAATTCGTTTTTTTCGAATATCTCCGGAACCATTTATCGTACAAAAAACAGCTTTTGTAAGCATTTTCTACTCAAAATAAGCTATGTTTTGTGTTGAAGGAGTAGCGGGTGTTTTTCTCCTCAACTTCTACGCCCCTGAAAAAAGTACGGTTTTTAGAGGCCCATTCGAACAGCCAATGTTTTCTACACAAAAAAGGTACTCCTGGTCATAAGCTCTAAAGTTGACCGTTTTCGAGAAAAATCAACTTTTATGTTTAAAACCATGGTCAATTTAAAAAAAATATATTTTTTTTTACTAATTAAACAAAATTTATTTTAACGTTAGGACAAGTAACAAAACCAAACCATAATTGCAAAATAAAAAATGATTTAAAAGTTGTCTTTGCTTAATTCTCCAAACCATAAAGGTAACGCATTTCGCACATTTCAGCATTTGAGTAAAAAATCATTTTTAATTTTTTTTTTAATTTTGCAATTATCGTTTGGTTTTGTTACTTTTTCTAACGTTAAAATAAATTTTGTTTAATTAGTAATAAAAATTTTTTTTCAAAAAATTGACCATGTTTTTAAACATAAAAGTTGATTTTTCTCGAAAACGGTCAACTTTAGAGCTTATCACCAAGAGTACCTTTTTTCTGTAGAAAACATTGGCGGTTCGAATGGGCCCCTCAGAACCGTACTTTTTTCAGGGGCGTTGAAGTTGAGGAGAAAAACACCCGCTACCCCTTCAAAATCTCCACCAATTATGAGTAAAAAAAAATTGTTTCTGGCACAAAACATAGCTTATTATGAGTAGAAAATGCTTACAAAAGCTGTTTTTTGTACGATAAACGGTTCCAGAGATAATCTAAAAAAACGATTTTTTTTCTAAAATTTCAACACCCTGTATCTCGAAAATTGTGCATTTTAGAGGGTAAGTTAATGGCGACTTTTTTCATCTTTTTGGATGAGCTATCACATCCTGAAGTCCTGCGCATATATTATGAAACACCCTGTATAACACAATTATTGCAGGTAATGTTTTTTTTAATATTAGTACAATTAACAATTTAACCTGTCGAAGTATAATGTAAGAACAATTGTAATACAATAATTTTGTGGAATTTTTTATCTTATATAATATTAGAATAAATTTAACAGATGGGAATTATTTTTTTCTATTTAATCATTAAGTATAGTATCAAATTTTTTTTTTATTTATTAATTTCTAATGATTCTAGTAAATTTAACTTCGTCGTATCTGCAAAATGTAAAATTTTAAATTTATTGTAAAATAAGTGGTTTTCTTGAATTAAATGGTTGGCATAAGTTGAATCTGTTTTTTGATTATTAAGATTTTCTATGTTCATTAATTTTGGTTTTAAAAGTCCGGCCAGTTTGGCCAATTGTCAAATTAAATTAAAATAAATTCGTGAAACTCAAAAAACAGTGTTATAGATTAGTGACAATAAAATATTATTTTAGACTAATAATTTTACCATTTACTACTTTTTTTAATTATTATATTTTAAATCCATCCCTATTAATACGCAATGCATATTTAAATTTGCTCCAACTATAGAGAGACTCGATTTGGGCCTCCCTGTACATAGTCGGTGGTTGTTTGCTTTTAAGAGGCGATCGTAGTAGGCGAAGGAGCGTTGCCACCGCCTGCTGGATGTCGGATGTATGGATATTGGGGAGGCACGTGGTGTGAAATTTGAGTGTTGCTTGTTCCCGGGGCGAAGTTTGCTCGAACGATCGTTTGTCCCGTTACGTCACGGGAGAGACGCTCTCAGGGCGGACGTCAACTAATGTTCACGACCGGTCGTAAAAGTTTTATTAATTAATTTCGAGCATTTGTTGCTATAAGTTTACCCTATTCAAGTTTAAAAGATTTATTGAATTTAATATTTGTTTCTAAATAAAACTTCAAATACAAGATGTTAATCAAAATGTGAAAAACTGACTTGCCAATTTGTTTACTTAAAAACAATTTTTGACGCTGAAATGCGTTTTTTGATTGGTTGAAATATAAAGGATGGAAATAATGTACCTACACAAATTTTACAAAACTTTACAGTTTTTCTACAAAATAATCATTGCCAAACTACACAAAATCAATCAAAATAAATACAAAAATTATTAATAATATTTTATATAAATTATCATTACTTAAAAAAATAAAATAATCAATATTCTTTGCAATTTAGATTTTACGATTTAAAAGAAAGTCAGTTCCTTTCAGTCACTGACTAAACCAGTTGGGGGACCGGGGCGGTAAAATAAAAGTCTACTTATGAAATAATGTGTTTTGTAAATATTAATGTTTTGTTATTTTAAATTTGTTAGTAGATCCGCTTACCAAGTCCTTTGCAACAATCTTAATGTAATCAGGGATATGAAAATTAATTACAAGCTTTTTCCAGCGCACTTACAAGTATACTTATATTTGAACTTGTTATTAATTTAAATTTTAAAAATCATGGGGC